ATCGTTAGAAAAACTGTAAAAAAAAATATAACAAACAGTTTCCAGTAGTATCTTTAATATTTCATATTATTCATTAATTTTTTATTTCATATTAGATTTTTTATTAATTATATGTATATATATATATAAATTAGTTCAATTTTTATTTTTATATATTTTTATATTATTTTTATATTATTCATTAGTATTTAATAATTTTATTTAACTTTTATAACGTATATATATACGTTATTAAAGCCGTGGAGCAATACAAATTTCTATACATTACAATTAATTTGTAAGATAAACAGTTACAGTCTTATTACATACAAAATATTTTATTTTTTGATACATTTAACTTAATACATACTGCCGGTATGAAAATCTACAGTTCGCGTTACATGTACTATAGATTTCATACCAACAGCACGACGCCAAATGTTTCGCTTTTCGCAGTTGGTTAATCTGACCCCCACAAGCCCCAAAACGACAGAGAGCGCAACATTTTTAGAAAGAGACGCTTGCAAACTGCACACACCATGTTATACTTCCACCATGGTCGATGTCCGTCGTCTGGGGCAGTTCGCGCAGGTTCGCGATATGGAACGGCGCCGCGTCGCGGAACGTCGGTGATCGTTAGGCGTCGCGGAATCGACGACGACGACGACGCGCCAGCTCGCCCGCCGCGGACATGGCGGATGTGGCCGCCGTGCATTAAAAACGGCCAGACACCCTCGAGACGCGCCCGCGTAAACCGCTGCTCCTCGCGAATCGTCGCCCCGCGCCGCTCTCGCCGTCCGGTCCGGTCGTCGTCCTGTCCTCGTCTCGCGCGCGTGCCGCGCGACGAGACGCGTGAACAACCGTAAACTGCCGAGGGCGCCGCAGAGCGGAATCGTGCCAAGTCGTGTGCGGCTCGCCCCCGTTCCCGAAGAGAGAGAGATGCCCGCGCGCACATGGTAACATCGTCTTCCGGGTCAGTTCGAGAGTTAAATTCCCGTGTCCCGCGTGGAGGAGGTGCGGCTCTCGCCGGCGGCGTGGCCACCCGCACGCGCCCGCCCGCGAGCCCCGGCGGCCGACGCCGCCGCCGACCGGCCAGCGTTCCGCGCCGCGGAGGCCCCGGCGAGCTCGGGCGAAGCGGCGCCTCCATGGGGACAACTCACTCGTGGGGTGTAATGGCGATCGGGACGTCGGGAGGATATGTTTTGTTTCGCGCGGAACGTTTGTGCGAGATCCCTCGGCGAATCCGAATGTGTTAACGCCACCGATTATTTGCTTGCCCCGTTATTGTTTGTTTTTACCGCATTTTCGACACCCCGACGTCTCGGTCGTTAGGTGATTTGCACAAGCAATGTCACGGTGGCGACTACGGGAATCCGCTCCGTTTCACGGATATTCCTATCGATTTTAACGTAACTCCGGCTTTTAAATTCGCAGTCCTACCCGCGTTGAACTATATACGGTGATATGATAATTGATATCCCGATCAAAGTTACATTGAAATTGCAGTAACAGTTTGTGAGTTTTTTTTTGCTCTGTTTGACGCCCCATTGAGGATAAACTACATTGTTTAATAGAGCTGCTGAATTAATTGTTTGAGGATTACATCTCGTTAGTTTGTTAATGCTTGTTTTATTTATTTCATAAGTAATGCCTAATAGCTTTTGTGGAAAAATAGTTGTAAATTTTTGAGATTCCTGAATTAGAAGATTGTATTTAATTCTATTAATATATGTTTATTTTATTTCTACTGATTATAAATTATCATTTGAAACTTATTTTATTGATGACAAATTAATTACTAATTCTCTGTATAACATAATATGAAAGTGTTGTGTTTGACACGACGATTCCATGACGATTTTGAAAGTATCTGTAATAAAATTATGAGATTTTTGTGATTATACCTTCAATTAATTTTATCAATTTATAATTATGTTATTATATTCTTATTAATTCAATGGATACTGAAATACATAAAGCAATTTATCGGAATTGAATTCGATATTCAATGATGATTAAGACAAATTTTATGCAGTAATATTAAATCAGATTGTACTCTATGGAATTATTAGATTGAGTATTAAATATTGGATGGATTTTGAATACACGAGAATAGACATATGTACACATTTAATAATTGAGATATTACATCTCGCTAATTTGTCAGTGTGTATTTTACTATATTATTACTGTTAATTTTATTAATGTACGTTTACACGTTTAATTAATTTTATTAATGTTATACAGTTATCACTGATAAATTAATTATTAGACTAATCTTTTATATATCCTGATATGAAAGTATCGTTTAATATTCTATGACAATTTTGAAAGGATACTTAATGTTATTGTTATTTGCGCTTAACTAATTTTTCTCAATTTTATTACATTTTGATTGAAATATTAATTGATTTCATATTAAAGTACATAAGTTTACTGATAATGAATTTGTATTAAATGACTATTCAGACAAGTTTTTATACAGTAAAATTAAATCAAGTTTTACTTTATGAGATTATTAGATAAACATTGATGTTTTAAGTATTGGATAGATATATACACGATAAACTGTAACATTTAATATAACTTTTTTTACACATGTATGATAAATCGTAACATTTAACACTTAAACTTTTCTATTGTTGCTTCATTATTGAACACAATATTAAAGAATAAACGAGGAAGAATTGAATTTTTGAAGTTAAACAATTAATGGAGAATATATAGAGTAAATAAATCTATATTTATATCTAAATATAGGTTTATTTATTTATAGCAAATCTCTCAAGTATCTAGATATGTGTATAGATACCTGGAATACACCTAGATAGCAAGCATTGTGAATGAACCCCCATAGCAAACACCATTCAATACAATACAAATATGTGATTATGTCTATGGTTATGTGAGCAATTATATGATCATGCAAGTGATGCAAAATTGCAGCTCTTTTCACATCTATCTACCATAGAGACAACATTGAAGTATTGATTGCAGCAACATGGTGTGCTATGGGAGGAGGGTTGAAACCCAGGCATGGCAGACCCACCTATTATATCTTACACCTGTCATTCAGCTTTTGTTTCCATTTACATTTTTCAGACACATAAATATATAACGGTTATACATAAAACTATTTAAAAAACATAATCATAAAACAAGAATGTCACAAAAAATCACATAGTTTATTACAAATTAATTTGAATATTTTAAAATAAATTTGCGAGTTAAAATATGTAAAATAATATTTGTTTATTTTAATTATATTTATGACAGTTATAAAATAATTTTTAAATCTGTTTTATTATTAATATTTGCGAAAATTATAATTTTATGCACATATGAATTATATATAATTATATATAATTTAATTATGTGAAATTAATTTTTAATATTACTGCATAAATATTTCGCATTCTTTCTATTTTTATTTTATTCAATGTTTATTTTAGGATTTTTAAAGAGTATATTTTTATTCGTTTGTATTTTATATTTTAATATTTTTTTATTTTAGAACAATTTTAAATATACATTATTAAAAATAGTAAAATTGGGGGAAAATATACGCTATTAATTCTTTAAGAAAGGTAGATATTCAAATTCTGTAAAGGTCAGAAAATCCAATTGACTGTGTTAATGTGCGATAGCTATAGGCAACAATGGCAGAAAATGTATGTTCTTTGATATACCACGAAAGCATAAAATCTAGACAGATTTAACTTACGGAATATTAATCGGAAAATTATTTCGAAATTTCATGCATATAACAATTTAATTTATTTATTACAGTTTAATTACATTTATAAATTGAACGTTTATTAAATGTTTATATTAAAATAATAAGATAAATAGAAAATAAGTAAAGCAAGAAAGACTATTTTATTAATTAATTTAGATTATAATTATGAATTAGATTTGATTAATTAGGACATTTTAAGTGCAAAATATCAAACTATACATATTTAATATAAACTTAATTATTTTTTTACAGGTTACTGCAATGAAGTATATTAAATGCATATGAATGACAATGGGCTGAAACACTTAAATGATTAGCATTTATATATAAATATCACTACTTATTGTCAGCCAAAGGTAAAGTATTCCATTAAGTATTATTTAAAGTATTTTGTTAAAATATAAAATTTTTAAATGAAATTTTCAGATATTACAATATCATTTTGTAAATATATATAAACATTTTTGTATTTCTTTTATGTTTCCTATGTTATTACTTTCAAAAATTTGTCAATGATTTTTGTTACCAAGAATATTGTGCGTTTATAAAATTGTTATAAATTTTAGAGTCCAAAAAGACAATATGTTTGAATAATTCAAAATATGTGAAATATATTTTCTTACTTTTAAAGTTTGTGCCAGACATGGCAGCGATCGAAGAGAAAAAGCGAGTGGGTGGCTCCAAGGTGTCAGCCATCGCGAACATCTTCCAATCCAAGCCACAACTGGACAATCTGAGTCACAGAACGAATAATATTCTCTCGGATGGATTTAAGGAGCCAGCTGTTCCACTGAAGGAGTCTCCGACGCAAGTAACAGTGGTCAGAACTGAGAGCCATGTGGCACGTTTCAACAATGCGCGAGCCCTCTTCGAGAAACTTGGCGAGGAAAACAAATCGAACAGACCGTAAGCGTGCATTTGAAGTCAGAGAAATTTATATTTCTCTCTTAAAAGCTATATTAATTATAATATATATATTATTACATATATTGTTTAATATATAATTTTATTTTACATTTTATTAATTATTATCTTCTTAAATCTTTTCAATTATATTGCTTTTGTATAGATTTATCTTTAATCTTATTAACTTATTTCTTGATTATTTTGTAATTATATTATTATTTTCCATTATCAATGTTTCCTAATAAAATAAATAATTCTTAGAATTACTTTAATATTAATTTACAGGGTGGAACGGGTTACAAAACCGAATAATCTGCACGGTCTCCGGTCTCGCTCCAGTTCCGCGAACTCAGGCTCCGGGTGCACCTCGCCCACGAGATCGCCCCGTCCTCACTCACCCTCTCCCCCGGGCAGCCGCGAACACCTGAGCACGTGGAGCGCCAGCGTACCGGCCCTGAACGCGGAGCGGCACTTCGAGAACGGCCACTGCGCGCCGGAGCGACGTCCCGGCGCGGGCTTGAGTAAGGCCGAACGCACGGGCAAGGAGAACGATCGTCCGGAGCGGCCGGAAAAGCCGGAACGCCGGCCGAATCCGAAGGAGCTAATCGAGAAGCAACGGAATTGGACTAGCCACTTCTCCAAGGCTCGACCGAACCGCTACAATTCCGATCCGAATCGCTCGCTAGTCCAAACTTCCCTGAACTCCCAGAATGTCCAGAGTCAAGCGCAGCAGCAGCAGCAGCAGCAGCAGTCGTCGTCGTTCGTTGACACATGCCAGAGTTCGATGGGCGCGGCAGCAGGCGACTCCGCCAGCCCGGCTATCAGATCGGCGAGCTTCTGCTCGGCACGCTCGCCGCCGCCACCGCCCCCGCCTGTCAGGAACTCGTCCTCCGCGGCCAGTAGGAGGGAACGACCGGCGAGTATCGCTTCCGTCGGCTCGTCCGAACTGCTGGAGAGCCCGGAGTACGCGACGGTGGAGAGGTTCGACGACATCTCGCCGACGATTCCGGAGTATGCCGTCGTGCAGAAGAAGAAACCTCAGAGCGGTTCGAAAGACAGCAAAATCAGTGGCGCTGACAAGACTCAGGACGCCTCGTTGCCAGAGTACGCTGTTGTGCAGAAAAACACTTCGAAAGCGGCTTTGAGGTCGGCGGAGAACTCCAAGGAGGCTTCCAAGGCGCAGAATTTGAAGTGCGCGGCAATCCCGCCAGAGGCAGTTACGGGAAACAAAATCGTGACTTCGAGGTCGACGGAGGCCGCCAAGGACATCTCTAAATCCACCGTGCAGAATTTGACGAGCTCCGCGTCCGCGGAGCCAATTTCAGGAAGCAGAGCAGTAGTTTCAAAATCAGTGGACGACCCTAAGGAGGCTCCCAAGGCCACTGCGCAGACTGTGAAAGGTCCACCAGTTGCGGAAGTGTGCAAAGACGCAGCTTTGAGGCCAACGGAAAATCTGAAAGAGACCTTGAAAAATTCTACGTCCACGGAAGAGGCGCCAACATTTAAGGCTATAGTTTCTAGACCAGTGGAGTCTTCAAAGGAGGATGCCACGGAGGCTACGGAGGGATCGAAGGAGGCCACAAAGGCACACTCAGCGGTCCCGGAATCCAAAACTGCCATTGCGAATGAGCATAGCGACTTTACCGAGCAGACGAAGGCGTCGCCTGTACTGCACTACGAGGTTTCTAGTCCCACTCGAAGTGCCTCGATGGACAATATCCTCACGAGGAGGGAGAGCGACCTGCTGGAGGCGCCGGAATACTTCAACTGTCCCCCGAGCCCGATTCACTCGCCGGCGAAGACGTCCGAGTGGAGGAACGAGTGGCTGGCGAAAAACGACGAGATCCTGAAGAGGACTGTGGATCCGAAGACCTCGCCGAGGGAGGCCCTTGAGTCCGAGCTGCGTGGCGATGCGGTCAGAACGGATCCAAGACCCGATTGGGCGAGACCGAACGCGAACGCGAAGAGAAAAGAGACCGCGGCGGACGACAAGAGGATCGACCTGACACGATCACCGGAATCCGAGCTCGGTCTACCCTCCGCTGGCACCGACAGTGCCTCGTCCAGCATGAGTTCACCTAGTTCGCCATCCAAAGACAGCAAGGAGGAAAAAGCGGAGAAGGAGATGTCGGAGAAACATCAGACAGGTAAACTATATCAGATTCGTGAAAAAAGTCTCGTCTCGAGGCCGAAAAACTTTATTATAAATGGGAAAAGTGCGTTGAAATTAATTAATGACAATCACGATTAATAAAAGTTACCTTGATATTGTATAATTTTGTTTCTTTAGCTTTTTAGTTTACAAATATGACGAGAAAAATAATTATTGAAGAATGACTAAAATGATTAAAAAAAAAAAAGAAACAAATTTTTTAATATAAAAAATACATGTATATATGTAATTTTGACAATTAATCTTAGATATTGATTTTAACATACGTTTATTGCAAATATATTAAATGCCTTTATGATGAATGGTCCGCTTCAAAAATAAATCTCCACATTTTTGAGAAGCGTCGGTGAGGCCAGGTGACTTTCGATGTCGTGGGTTGGGATGGCAGTGTGCCAAAATGCCAAAAAGTAAAAGTACCAGACGCAGGCCCCCCTTCTTACCCCTTTTCTCCTTCCCTTTGCTCTGCCACCTCCTCTTTTACCAGTGTGCCACGGTATTATTTATAGAAATCACCGTGCTGCTTGTCCAGCGGCCAAACCGCTCGTGCCTCGTCGCGTTTACTTTGCAAAAGTGTCTCTGGGGCTCTCGGCAGAATTTGAAAATCATCAATGTTGTGCTCGAAAAATTCTGTAGTTCTACTCAGTACAGTGACTCCTCTGAAAATAGAATGAATTATAATGCGATTTATAAATGCGATAAGAGCGAGTTTGTACAAAGCTTTGCTGTTTATAAATCTGTACATATAAATATAAATTTCTGAAAATGGAAAATATAAGAGAGTTAAAAGTTGCGAATATATTTAGGCTCATATGATAAAAATCCAACAATCATTCGAGAAGGGCTGATGATGAAGGGCCAAGCTGGTTGTTCGATGCTGCTGATATTGGTAAGAAAAATTGTGTCTCTTGGAAAAATCCAAAATAATAATAATCGACTGTGATGTTAGAGATGATAAAAAGCCAGAGATACTTTTGGATGTCGTGGAAAGAGTATAATTAACGTTAAATTTCTTCTGCATACAAGTATCTCTGGATTTTTATCTTCTTAGGAAATAAAATATAAATTCCCGAAATATGAGTTACTACTTAAGAGTTTAAACTCTTTGACTCCTCATTATCTCTTAACTTCCCAATCAATCTCTCATAAAACTTGAGACATATGTAAGAATGAGAGTCGAGATCGAACCACCGACTACAAGTCTGTTTTTACACGGATCTGTACGTTATCCCTGATTTTTATCTTAACACTATAGTTAAGATAACATTAATCTGAACTTATCCAAGAGACTCAATTTTCCTTACCTGGACAACAACAGAGAAACTTTGATACAATTTACCTGCGTTAATGTGTTTGTAATATGTGTATTAACATTTTGTCTTTATTTAGTCTTTTATTAGTTTCACACTAAGGATGACCATATTATAAGTCGAAATGTACGTTTTTAAAATATGATTTTAGAAATAACGTATTATGTTTTGAATTAATTTATAATTTATAAGAAATAATATCAGTATGAATAATCAGCTTAACTCATCAGCCTTCTTTGAATATTGTTTGATAAAAATGTTAATTTAATGATAAATAGTCTTGCATAAAAAAGTCTTTGAATATATTAATAAATAGGAAAAATGGGAAAAATATTTGCAAGTAGAATTTTTCAGATCTAAATATTCTTTTGTGTTATAAATTAACAAACTGACAAAAAAAAACAGAAATTGAATTAAAGAATCAAAACAAGAATGTAATTAATCCTGAAGAAATTTAGCTTTTTATAATTTGGATATTTATTCATAAATCAAATATTTAAATTTCTAAAATCTAACATTTTTTGCATAAATTATGTAAATGTGCGATAAAAATCTGTACAATTCAAAATATCATTCATTGCTAAAATATGTAAACCATTAACAAATAAGATGTTAAACTACTTCGAAATAAAATTAAACGCTAAATAATATTAAATAATCAATATGAAATTTTCTACTGAGTGCTATAGTTTGATTAATTAAGTCGGTTAAAGGCTATATATATTCTACGCGAGTGCGTGATCTTGTAATAGAATATACAAGACTGGTGTTTATATATGAAACGCTGCACTATATTTTGTATCAATATTTTTATACTTGTTGGAGCGTCACGTACTCCAGGAAGACGTAAAATTATGTGCCTGCGATTACTTTGCATCGATTGCGGAGGTACTTTAGCTGTAGTTAGTAGATAAGCTATTTCAGCGGCCGACAGCGTACACGTCAATTTCCCAGTACTTCTAATGTCGTCATAAATTTATTTTTCAAATTCAGGTCGCAACAGCTATGACTTGGAAGCGGAGGATCAGGAGAAGCCGGCCACGTATCAGAGCTGCGTCTCAGGGACGGAGAGCATCTCCGAGAAAGATCAGTTCAAGTTCAATGAGACGGACACTACCACGGTCATACGGCGTTCTCACGTGCGCCTTGATCTTCAGGCTGCCGGCCTGGGTCCGCGTCCGCCGTCTGTCATCAGTTCCGACCAGGAGTATCCGCCGCTGGAGCACAAAGAGATCCCTGTGCCCTCTCCGTACGCGAAGAAGTTGCAGCAGAACGAAGAAATTGTTACGCAGAGTAACACCGAATGCAAAACTCAACAATCAAACACGGAGGTGAAGAGCCACGGCGGCTCTACGGAAGCGATGAAAATCAATACCGCGTCTACGGAGGACATGCTGGAGGCGAAAGTGAAGTCCGGCGGCGACGGGGTGTGCCAGAAGACGGTCTCGAATGCGAAGAACGATCAAATCAAAATCAGCGTAAGAGAGAAGATCGCGAAGAACAGGGAGGAGGTCTCGGGCAAGCGGTCCAGCTTCGTCGAGACGGAGGGAGGCAAGGATAGCGTGGACAAGGCGGCCATTCGCAGCCAGGAGATGAACAGCTGTTTCGGGCTCATCACGAAGGAGAGCAAGGACGAGGAGAAGTACGTGGCGGAGGTGGCGAAATCCGAGGTGAGCAGCAGCAGGAAGGAGTGCATCGCGGCGGTGAACAGTGTCCTGAGCAGGAAGCTGGAGAAGGAGATGGAGCAGCCGCAGACGACGTGGGAGCAGGAGAAGCAGAAGGCCGAGCTGGCGAAGCTCCGGTTATCGGAGAACAACAATCAGGGGGCCCCGCTGTCGCCCAGTGTGCTCTCGCAAAGACATTCCGGCAAGAAGTCCAACGACCAGTCCACGTCGGAGAGCAGCCAGTTCGACGACAGTGACTCGAGTGACACGAAGACCATTAAAAATGTGGAATGTGCGCAGAGAGAGATGCAGGACAATTCCGCCGGGGTTGCGGAGGGGGCAGCTTCGAAGAACAATCATATCACGCCCGTGACGCCGGATACCATGACTCCAGACGAGGCCGAAAATCTACTGAGCTCTCGGTAAATATGTAGTGACTATAAGAGAAGGAATTTTTCGAGTCGTTGTTAGATTGCGTTTGAAATAATAGAAACACCATAAGAATTTTAGAAAGGGGGAAAAGGGAAGACAGACTCGTCATTTTTTCGGAATATTTAATTTTATCGACCCTGATAATTGATATCAATAGACGACAATTTTGGAATGATGCTGTTCCTAGGAGCTGCTTTTAGCGTACAACTTTCGCACTTTTAATATAGCAATTGTATTTCCCATAGCGTTTATCCATTTAAATTAACAGTGTAATAAATTTCTGTTGCTACAGTCTTGCAACTTAGTAACTTTTAATTTGAGGCTTATTGTTAGTATTAATGACTTTGTTTTTCTTTCATTTTGATTCTAATACGTTCGTGTTTATTTGAATGCAAATCTGCTGATCGCTATGGTCCATGCAGCATCTTAGAAAAGAAGATTAGGTGAGTACACTTGCAATTCTGTAATTCGATAACGAAAGCAGATATGTTGTCTATCTTACAACAATTGCAAAGTATTACGTCGACGTAATAGATTTTAATAGATTTTATCATGTACTTAGTAATCCAATAAAAGAACTAGACTTATCTTACAAAAACCTGTTTTTCAAAAAAGTGGCTTTTACTAGAAAGTTATATCAGAATATTTTTATCAATAAAATATCACTTTTTCTGGTTGACCGTATTTATAACGAACACGAAAGACTAGAACAATATAAATATATCTTGACCGTGTCTTTTATTATTCTGTAAAGAAGAAAAAGGTGATTTTTTTGTAAAAATATTTCTATAAAATCTCGATTTTCGATCACTTATTATTCAGTTCGATGAGAAGATTGAGATAATTAAGAATAATTTTTTTTTTACGAATAAAAGCCTTGTTGAATTATACGATGAGTCTCCCTTACAATTAGTATAAAAATATTCTGAAATTTAATATCGAGTAATAAGGAATATCGCGTCTTAATGTCTCGCGAATGAACTGACATAACTGCTTTTGTCAATTAAACTGCAGAATTGATTCGCTATCAGCGATCAACGTAAATTCGTGCGTAAAGGCAAAGTGAATGATTCGTGAAACGTAAATTAGACAAGGTTCGGCGTTGCTATCGGACGAGGAAGCGCAGGAGATAGCGAGGCTGCTGTCTCCCACCGGTGCCAATGACGCAATAATAGGTGACGGGATTTCTAATGACAAGGATAAGGAAGGACAGGACAGGGATCGGGAGGACCAGGACAACACGCCCGACTGGCTGTCCGATGTCCTGTCTGCTCCTGATTCCAGTCTTATCAATAGTGCCACTCATGATTATAGGTGAACGAGCTTATTTTTTTTACGTCTTTTCGGTTGCGCGCCCTTCCCTGCGTCTCTTTTTTGCAATTTCATTTCTATTCTCTATTTTTCTTTAAACAGATTTTCGACTTTGATATCACTTGTATTTTCGTGGATTACGGAATTTTTGAATTGTAGTTGCTTTTAAAATCTTATTCTTTCGGATCTCTGGAGAATTAAAAAAATGTTGAATCTTTGATCTCCTTCGATATTTAAAAAGTATTTGTATCCCTTGAATTTTTATAATCTGGGATAATAGTAGACGCTCGAGTCTTCTTGTCAATTCTTGGACAACTGGATAACCTCAGGTCTCTTTGGACTTTCGGAATTAAAATTTTGAGAATTACACACCCTTAGCCTCTCGATTTCTCCGTTAACCCTCCATTTATTTCAGTTTGTCTCATAGATCTCGCAGTGACCTGACGATAGACTCGTTGACGGAAAGCCAGATAGGATCGGTCACAGGAAGTGAGAGCGGACTACTGGGCTCTGTCAGCAGCTTAAACGACACTCATGAAACTAATGATGACACCGAGACCGAGCAACAGGACGACTATATTCCAACTCCAGGAAAAATTGTAATTATAATTATCACAATTTTACAGCACCATCTTCTTTCTTTTTTTCTCAATTGAATTTAATCGGAAAGTAAACGATAATAAATTAGAGAACAAATATATAGATTTATCAGAATAAAGAAATATGTGTAGGTATAGTTTTTCACGACAGTTTTTAAAAGAAATTTTTATTTATTTATTTACCATCCCGATTTAAAGCAGTTTTGCGACGGTATTAACTTCGATATTTGATTAACCAGGTGTTCGTGGAGAATGGCGTGCACTATTTCGAAGACGGTCACTTTTGGATGGAAGTGGCGGGAATCCCAGAGTCCGACGAAGACGACGAAGACTATCCGTCCACCGTGCCCGTCAAGAAAACTTCCAAAGTGTCCTTCGACACCGGCCCCATGCGTGTCTATTCCACGCATTCTGTCAATGAATACGATCGTCGCAATGAGGACGTCGATCCTGTGGCGGCCAGTGCGGAGTACGAGCTGGAAAAACGCGTCGAAAAAATGGAGGTAATTTCGAATTACATTTTTTTGTTTAGTATTCCATAGAAAAAGTAACTGATTTTTAGTGCAATTTTTTCTTACGATTTAATTTTTAACGTTTTGAACGCTTTGTTCCTAATTTATCTTCACAAATATTTTGTAATGATACTTCGTGATTGCTTCAAGGAGAGCCTGAGGCATTTTGAAGTATTAAGGATTTCTTTAATATTCTATTTAAATAAATAAACGCACCTCTTATGAGAAAAATCCTGCGCTTTGATACTAAAATAATTTTTAAAAAATCTCAGGTATTCCCTGTCGAGCTGATGAAGGGTCCGGAAGGCCTGGGCCTCAGCATAATCGGTATGGGCGTGGGCGCGGACGCCGGTCTGGAGAAGTTGGGCATTTTTGTGAAAACTATCACGGAGAAAGGCGCGGCCGCGCGCGAGGGTCGGATCCAGGTGAATGACCAGATCGTCGAGGTCGACGGCAAGAGTCTGGTCGGCGTGACGCAGGCTTACGCCGCTAGCGTGCTGAGGAACACTTCCGGTCTCGTGCGATTTGTCATCGGCAGGGAGAGGGACCCCAAGAACTCGGAAGTGGCGATGCTGATTAGGCAGAGTCTCCAGGCGGACAAGGAGAGGGAACTGGCAAACGCTGCCAATAGGTAAAATAGCGCATTCATGCAGGCTGAACCTTTGAATAACATTACCATAAGATTAGTGTTGTAGCTTATATAATTATTAGTTAATTTTAACAAGTTTTATTACGATATAGTGTGAGATCAATCTGGTAAATTGTGAAATTTATTTTCCAAAAATTAGATATAATAATATTTATAATAATTATAATAATTTATTAACTCAATAAAAATTGATATGCTTTTTATTAAGACTGAAATTATATACTTTTTTATTTTTATTTTTTTTACTCGATTTAAAGACTCCTCTGTTCTTTTTTAATTTAAACACTTCATCTCACGGGATGAGGTGATGGCTCCGCATGAAAGCACTTGATTTTATTATTTGACTTTATTATTTGAGGGGATATCCAGATTCGATCCCTTCAAGGTTCTTTTATGTATTTTCATTTGAAATGGTTTTCGAAAACCAGTCAATCGCAGTCTGCCTTAAAGCGCAATGGGCATTTCTAGAATTAATTATAATGATCCGTCTTTAAACACCTCGTCTGCGTTCCCAATGATGATTTATCCTTGCTCGCAAAAAATACCGTGACGACACTTTGTGGCCACTCCAATGAGAGCCTGAGGCATCTTGGAGTGCTGAGGGAACTGCATTTTCTTCTTTTTTTTGTTTTTTTTTTGTATAACAAGCGCCGCATTCACACGGCGTCGCAATAAGCAAACCGTAAACTTTTGCCGGCATTAAAAGAAAGAAATTTCATTTTCCACGAACAGGAAGCTCAACTTCTCCGACGCTTCGCCTGACGGCCAGCGAGGAAGCGAGGACATCTCCGTCGGCAGCGGGATAAGCGGGATCCCCGGCTCGCCGGCGATGTCCTCCTGCTCGGAGGGCGAACCGACGCACAGTCCCATCGAGAACTACATGTCGCCTTCTAGTCGCAGCCGATCTCCGATACTCGGCTCGTCCATGCAGCACAACATCACCACGCAGAGCGACGTGGACAGTCTGAGATTGCTCTTGCAAGAGGTATTTTGCGCATTTACATTCCACGCTTCACGAGTTCGAACATATCTCTTTTTTTTTTTTCATCCATTTAAGAATCTTTATTCAGCAAGATATTTTTTTATGCACCTGTCTACTCATACGTGTGGTGTTAGTTTTATTATTATTATTATTTTTTTTTGTAAATAGTCGTTAGAACGCATTGTTCAACAACGTTCGTTTCCACGATACGTAGCGCATATATTTGTAAATACTCTCGTGTGTACATGTGTGTAAATTAAAGAGTGCAGGTATCACGTATGTATATGTAAGTTTACCGCAGTTGCACAGTGTGTATTTATTTTGATTTTCTTTGTTTTTGTTTCGCTTATGCGCTATGCGTGTCGTTGGTTGCTTGCAGAGTCAGTATAAACTCTCATTAGCGGACGAGGAGGTGGAAAAGCTCAAGGCGAAGGTAACGTAACATCATAATTAGTTACTCGAACAATATATTAACTAATCTATTATAATTAAGTCAGCTCGTTACGTAATTATAACTGCTTGAATTAATTTATTAATATTTGCGCAGAAAAATTTATGTGCGATGCAAAATCTATTTTACAGAAGCGAAAGACTTATTCGCATTCATACAGCATGCTTCTCTTAATCTTTACAAATTTCTCACGCTTTTTTTCTGTAACAAAATGCATGAAATATTTACGTGTATATTTCGTAGCTTACAGCTTGTATATTATATACAACAATCGCCGATTCAATTATAAGGAAAAGTTAATCATTATCTACTATAACATACATCAAGATCATCAAAATCATCGATGTGCGTTAAATAATGTAAATAATTACCTTACTTTGTCATTAATCAATTTGTCCTGAATCAATTTTAGAACTCTTTCTTGAAGCTGATGCTTTTATTGCATGCTTCTATTATCTTTACAGACAATTCTCTTCTCGCGCCAATCGATTCTGAATGAACTTTACCTTTTAATTTTCGTCAAACATAAATATTATAAATATTTGATTATATTGTAAGATAAATAACATAACATTCAAGAAATTATAGGATGTACAAAGTTTCTTAATTTTAAAAAGAAGCATTTACGAGTTACATTTACTCTCTGAAAATGTTTTTACTCAAAATTATATTTTCTGTCAGATTCCAAGTTGGCGCCTACTTTTATTTGCGAACACACTTATCTGTAATGTTGCATGTATTTTGTAATCTTAGTCATATTATAATCTTCCTTTTATGTTTTGTACAGTTGGTAGAATTGGAGAACAGCGGAGCGGGTAGCGAGGAATATGCAGCCAAATTGCGGGAATCGGGATTACGGCTTCACGAATCGGAGAGAGCACTGGGCACCGCCCGCCAGGACCTGTCGACGGCCAGGGAGATGCTGTCGCAGGCTGCGGCGCAGAACGCACATCTAGAGCAGAAGTACAACAAGGCGAAGAAGGTCGCCAGGGAGCTACGTGCGGACATTACGTCCAGGGACGAGTTCTATCAGCAGTTGTTGCAGGAAAAGGATACCGAGTACAATGCGTTGGTGAAAAGTCTCAAGGATAGAGTACGTGTCGAAGGTGTTGCCCGGTGATATTTGGTCTTGGAGTGAACAAGTATATTTTCAAAAGAGCCATTTTTTTTCTCAAGGTGATCACGTTAGAGGTGGAGCTGACGGAGACCCAGAGGCGATTCGGTCTACCGGTACGGTTACCGTACGACAACGCCACAAGGATAGTAACGCCGCAGCTCTCCCGCAGACTGCCACCGCCGCCTTCGTCGACCAGCTGCCAGCTTTCCGACACGGAGACCTCCGACCTTAGCAGCCCGGACGACGGTGACAAGACTGCGACCGTCGAGAGGAAACTGCCTCTGCCGCTACCGGTGAAGGAGGAATTGGATCGCGCTGTACCAGCCCACCGTCTGCTGGACAATTCTGCTGGCAAGAGCAAGGCGGAGCTGGCCAGCAGGGGTGGCTTGGCCAATCGTCAGTTGCCCAGACGATCCGGCGGCCTCAGCAACAGCAGTTCTGTACGTCATTGATCTTGCATTAAAGAAGCTATTATAAATATTGTAGCATAGTGCCTCAAAATTGGAATACAAATTTTAGAATTATAAATACCAAAAAGGAAAGAATAAAATCAGTGCTTTGAGACTTTTTATTTTTCTTAATGAAGTTATACGATAAAGAAAATTCCTATTTTAGGATTACGGATTGGACGAGTCGGGCGACAACACGGACGACGATTCATCCTCAAAAATGACTTCGCAAGACAGCAGCAGGTCACCCAATGACTTGACCTCTAAACAGTCCAACCTGAGTTCCTATTCCAGCACTTCATCCATCAGTTCGCTTAAAGGAAAATCGCACATGGATCCTATACATCCCACCGCGATCCGGCAGCACAGCACCATTAGCTCGCAAGTTAGGGCGATGACTGAGCAAAGTTGGTCCCAATCGCAGAAGAGTACGTGTATGTATTCCATTTGATATGTCGATTGTTATTGTATTATAAAAAAATTTTATTATATATGTACGGTTATGATTCTCTTTTATATATGCTCTCTTATAACTTTCTTTAATACATTAAAAATTTCCCTCGGTAGCTTTGACTGGACCTCCCTCGTCATTGGCAGAACAGCTGAAGCAGGTCCTGGCCGAGCGGGAGAAGCGGCTTGGCGGAAACGACTCCTCGAGGGAGAGTTCTGGAGATTTCAGTGATCTCAACAGTCCTCACAATAACGATCCAACTATGGTTACGCATCATCTCGTGGAGGAGATACGGCAGGCTGTTAACGAGGCTAATCAAAGAGGTAGACAAAAATGCACGTTTAAATGAAAGGGGACAATTTAAATTATCGCAAATTAATCGCAATAGAGCAACAATGTGATCTTGTTGTAAATCAGAACCTGTCGTATTTCTAGTGAAAAAAGTGTCGATTCCTCCGTCGAATTTGATCGGCAGTGGAGGTGCCCCGTGGCATCATCCGGGAAGTTCTCCTTCAAGTTTGTCCTCCGGCGGTTCTATTAGTCCTCCCGGCGTTGATCCTAGTCCTCTAAAAGGTAACGTCGCAGGTACCTCAGAAATTTTGTGTATTGATGTTTATGTGTCAGCACTAACGCTTCGATCACTCGGTCAGGAATTAAAATTAAAAGATTCAAATCGAAAGATTCATTGAAATTAAAGTTTTTCAAGATAATTCTTTTTAACTTGTACGCAGTTAATAGCACTTTAACTAAAAACAATTTTGCTTTATTTCGCTTAAATGTGCTTTAGATGCATGATTTTTCTTTAGTGTTCAACGAAACGTTTATTAACAAAATATAAAATAACCTTAACATCTCTGGAATACAGATTATTATCCGCAGTAACAGTTAATTTCTGATAGAGTGATTACTAATAGCGTGACAAGATTTTCACACCTTATACTTACTTTCCGTCGTGCATGCATTATCAATATAGATTCGAGCACAGTTTGGTTGCCCGCTCACCTAAGCGACTTTGGTTTAGGTGACAAGAAGTCCCACTTCTGGCAGAATGCGCCAATCGCAGATTGGTCCAAGGAACAAGTGAGTATTCAATTGATTGTTTTGAAAAATAAATTTATAGTCAAGGAATTTATTTTTCCGTACAAATCTTTTTAAATATATACTTTCAAGAAAATAAGGATATGCTTGGACAATTTTTTTTTTTTTTTAATAACTTAGTATTATGTTACTTTTTTTCTCAGTCTTCACTCCGATAAAAAACTTTAAAAGCAAACAGTTTTCTTTTCTTTTGTTGTTTCCACTAACTTCTCTAAAAGCAAGATTCTGTGTTTAGGTGTGCCAATGGCTGACGGGAATCGGTTTAGAACACTATTCGGCCCAATTTTTGGATAACGGCATCAACGGGAGTAACCTGCTGCGCCTGGAATCGAGAGAGCTGAAGGCCTTAGGGGTTTACGGCGATGCTAAGGCCCATCTGAAGCGCAAACTGAAGGAGTTGAGGGCGCAGGCCGATCGCGAGCGCAAGGAACGTAAGGAAATCGAGCGAATGCGACGGAAAGCGGAGAAGGCTGCGCGGAAAAAGTAGCTCGCGAGTAAATTAAACGCGTTCGGTATCAGTTAGACACCCGGTAGTTTAAAATGCGGATTTTTTGGGCGTGAAGTGTACAGGGTATCTCGAAAGAGGTATGGAGGAAATTAATGATGGGGATCTTATTGGACTTTATCGGGAGGTCGTCGAGGGATATTTTAGTCGCGAGAAATTGGAAGGGAGATTCGAAAGAAGTTTGCCAAAGAAATAAATGTCGAAACTGGAAAATGACGCCGTCCATTTCATACAGGGTGTCACCTAGAAACCTATATAAAATAGCATCATGTATTCATCAAGACGGTGAAAGAAGTTTTATAGACATATCTTCTAATTTGTGCTTCATTTTAACACACACTTTTTGGATTTCTTTCTCTCTTACTTTACTGTCCTTTAATTAATTCCAGATAATAATTAATTCATTTAATTGATTCCAGGTAATTAAAATTACGATTGTATTAAATAATTCATATTTACAAATTATATTTATTTCAAATAATTCTTAATCGTGTGAAATGATAGTATTAAACCGTATATAGTATTAATTTACAAAATTACTTATACGTATTTAATTGATTGTGATTACGTGAATTATTTGAAATAACTAATAATAACGATCACAAATGGCATTTCCTTACGAGGAAACATTTTAATATCGCTAGAAATTAATCTTAATCTGGATTATTGTTTTAATAATCAATTTTTGATGAATTTTTAAATTAATCTTGATGAAATGAATAGCTATATTAACCTTACGATTAATTTTAATTATTTTCTAAGAGTAAAATTGGGAGCAACGTAACAACACGAAATAACTCCTACGTTAGTCGAAATTATTTATAATTTATTTCTAACACTAGCTAACTTAAATCGCGCCTCTTTGGGACACCCAGTATATCCTGGCGTTTCCTTCGAGATACTCCGCTTCCGTTCAATCATAATCTGTTTCCTTGAACGAGGCCCATGTATTGCGCCTCCGCATTTACTTGTTGTCGCCATACTTATATTGTCGCTATTAAGTATTTTTTTTCCTCAGTTATTGATACTATTTAAAAGTGTGTGCAAGCGTGCGTGTGCGTGTGTGTTGTCCGTGTGTATGAATGCGTGTAAAGACTCTAGCAATTTAGCTGAAAACGATCGTGTTCTAAATGTGCGTGTGAATTGGGCGGCTGCGCGATTTTCGCTTTAACGAACGCTGTTCTTTTACGGGCGGGGGAGAGGGGGGAGGGGAGGGAGATAAAATCGTGCGAGCCGCTCTCCAATTCTGGATGGATCGTCTAGAACGCGGAACATGTGTAATAAAACATCGTGTCATTTAAATACACTCTTTTGTAATTGTATGTACGTATATATAGTATACATACTTATATATATTATATATATATATATAGCCACATAAGGATTATTCCGATATTTATTTCTACGCGCGTTTAACGACGCTTTTTCCACGGATAAGGATTGATCTTTCAAGTTGAACGTTCAAATGTTATCTTACGTCGTCTTCTTCAATTTTATATAAACAACGCGTCGTCAATTATTAATTAATTATATTACTCGTTAATGGGTGTGTCTCTGATCAATTACGATGGACTTTGAAAGTAGTTTTAAGTTATGAAACTCTCATAATTGCCAATGTGTAAACAATTTTGTTATTTGTTAAACAATTATGGCATTTTGCGTTGTGGTCGGAAAAAAAAAAATGACGGACCACTCTGTAGAAGTTTATAAGAATACGAAAGTCTATCCGAAGTGCTTAAGAGCACGAAGCGGTTTTTATATCCCGCGTACTTTATCAATAATAATTAATATACGCACAGTTTATTAATGAGATATATCGATATTGATATTTTTTAATGATAGATATTAAACATTAGCGTATATTGTTTAATCGATGTTTTTTTTTTTTTAATTAAAATTGATGTTGAATATAAATTCGAATATTAATAATGTTTTATTATTGAATAATAAGGAGTTATGATTCATATACATGATTAATATACATAATGTATGCGTATGAAAAATTGTAATTTATTGCTAGCAATAGACTTCGTAATACTTTTCCTCATACTTAATAATATCATATCGTCGTGTTCTCTGCGATTAAGATTCTTCATGATGAATATTTCATTGCAATAAATCAATTACCGTGTCGACTTAGCCGAGAGAGCGGGATAAAATTGATCAGAGACAACCCGCAACTTCGCAGACTTTGCTATAATGTTACTTTGTATAAGGGACACCTCTTCGTAATTTATACTTATTCACTCCAAATTTGCTCAAAGGCAATCCTTTTTGCGCACCGAGTCAGGAGAGACGTCGAGAGACTTGTGCACATTCTCCGCTCCCTTGTGTTTCCCACAGAATCGTCAAAAACGCTCGCGACAGACCTCGAGGACAAGTCCTTCAATCGTCGAAGTCGTACACGCGAATCGACTCAAATCGAGTCGCTGTAAATTCTGCGACAGATCCAATGACATTCCACGTCGGATAGAACGCGAAGCCGAGAGCCGCGGCGCCCGCACGAGAGGGGATTTCGAGCGCGCAAGCGAGAGCGGGCGCTCTGCCGAAGCCAAGAGAAAGAGAGCGAGCGAGCAGAGAACCCACGCTAGACACGGGAGGGGGGGGGAGGGAGGACGACGAGCGTACTTATTTATAGTAACGTTGAACAATTTTTCGCGCCCCGTTTTCAACATTTGCGAAACGCCTCGTCGCGAGCAGTCGGGAATGTTGAACTTTTTCGGGGCGCGTAGCGTGTAAATATACATATGTACTGAAATACGATTAATAACGAATGACTGTAACCGGTGAGATAATTATAATATGTATGTGTGCGTGTGTGTGTGTATGTGTGTGCGTGTGTGAGTCGCGGAGCGACGGGAAGCGATTACAGTGTCATAACGTTACTCCACGAGGCATCAGCTCTGAATTTTTATGATAGATCCTCAATAGAAGTCCTCCATTAGAGAAGTCCGCATTACTTGGCGACATCGCGACACGCGACACTTGTTGTTTTTGTTGTTACACTCACAACGAACTGCGGGAATGAATCGTCCGTGTTTCTTTATAAGAATTGTAATATGGTATCGGTTATGCTATATCGGTGAGAACGTCAGTGGAACGATCCTCCTGCACTTCGATTATTATCCGTAGCGAAATCTTTTTGCTTCTTTCTCCCTCGCCTCCCCTCCCCTCCCCTCCCCTCCCCCTCTCTCCCTTCGGGGAGATACTTAATTATGCGCTTACTGAAGACTTTTTTTGTTTTGTTTAAATCCTGAGGTTTGAGGATTTTTCGCGCGTTGTAAGTAAACGTCCTCGGGATATTCCGAAGAAATCGGATCTTTTCTCGTTCTTTAGATCCCTGAATTCCCGGAATTTAAGACTAGTTTTGTATCTTTAAATCTTCTGAGATTTATTTTGAACTGAAATTTTAGTTTTTTTTTTTCTAGGACAGAATGTGTTCTGCGTTCTTGAAACCGAATTCTTCCTTTCTGAGTTCGCTGATCCTCTTAATCCTTAGAACCTTGCATTTTCGTAACTTCGGATCCTTGAATCTCGGAGCTATAAATTTGTTGTATTTTAATTTTCATGTAACTTTAAAAAACCCCGAATCCTTTTTATCTTGAGACATTCTAAATTTTTGTATTTTAAAATGTTTTAGTTGATCAGCTGATTGCTGTCCGATTGCTTTTAATCTTAAAGCAGTTGATACGTTCGGATCGTTGCATCCTTTTGTTCAATTTCTTTTAATCCTCAAGTCCTGGATGTGTTTCCGTTCCTTAAGGACCTTTCACAAAACTGACTGAATTATCATAAGTTATATAGCCAATTTTCAACGAATCACTTAGCCAGGTAACTACGAGAAGCGCCTCACACACGATCTGATTAATCGCAGAAGAGTCTAGTAGAAGTTTTTAGAAACAAATCCCGCCATCTCTCTTCTTAATCATCGCACAAAATTAAGACCCCTCGGAGTGGGTGGCGAAAACCCTTAGCATGATTGAGTCGTGAATGGCAGCGAACACACATTTGATTTTATATCATAAATATCTTGAGCTTTAAAATATCTCGATAACATTTCGTCCCCCAAAAAAAAAAACGTTAGCATGCATCTTTCCTCGCTTTTGTCAGATCGCGTGTGACTTGAGTCATGTACACATGTACACGTTTCCATTGATTTCGGATTGTTCACGAGGGTGAAGACGATTGAAGCGATAGAGAGAGAGAGAAAGAAAGAGAGAGAGAGAGATGAAGATGATCATGGAGGTACATGCGAAATGGCAGCTTTTTAATATGTCTACGAAAAGTATTGTCAAACAAATACTCTTGAACGTTTTAATTAAAGGTAATTCGTACAGTAAATAAAATTTGAGTTTCATTCTTTACTTTTAATATTTAACGTAAGAGAATAACATGAATAATTTTTGACAATTCTTCCGTCTAAAAATATACACATTTATCATGTTACTGTTATTAAAATAATCTGCAGGCCCTATAGATAGGTAATATAGATCAGTGGCAGGCTCCCTTTGCGGTTGCTTAGATACGTTTGTTTGATCGATATTTTACACAGCGCTATGTAAGACTTTACAACATGAACGAGAACAGAAGTTGCATCGATTCGAATGAATTGTTTGCGATAATCTGAATTTCGATTATGGCGATAGTTATAAAAGATTATCAGTGGCGACAGACGGATAAAAGAATAATAATTCACGTGCCTCTGAGAGGTCGCCCTAAAAATGTGGATTTATTCGTTATGGATAATTACGTAAAGGTATTTAGAATTTTGTTCTCAACATTCAAAACAATATTTTTGAACTCAAATAATTGCGATATCTCTTCTTCGTTTCTTCTTTTCTTTAAATTCAGAACTTTTCTCTAGATATAATTTTTTAATTTTATTATATTAATATATTTAAAATACAGCACTTAACCAATGACATAATCAATTCTTATTGAAGATTAGCTTTTCGCCTTTTATTTTGGAATTATTTCTGTGGGAAAACGTGCTTGAAGAGGAGAGTGAATGTACTTTGACGGACACCGAAGCTATTTTTTCTTTGCAAAAAGCGAACGTGGCTATCGATTGGCCGAGTCTCGAGGCGGAAAACATTAACAAGAGTGAAAAGTGTCATACTAGAAACCGAATTTTAGAGAAAGCTCAAAGTGTTTTGGAAAATCGTGCAAAACTCAAGAAAGGTATAAAGATCATTCGTAATATTATTATATTAATAATATGAACAGATAAAAAAAAATGTCCATTTTTTCAAGTTGTAGAGAAGTTGTATAGAATAATTAATGAGACGAAAAAGGTATAATTATATTTATATTTTACACACGTAAAATTATATAATTAAATATTATATAATAATAAAGTAATATAAATCACATATATAACTTATGTATATAATTTTATAAGTACTGAACTCATGAGGAAAACTACAACAATAGAACTTAAAAAAACTACAGTTTTGTTTGAGAAATAAAAATGAAAAACGCGCCACTATTCCGTAGAAAAACTTCAAAATCTGCAAAAAGAAGCGGTAAAAATACAGATCAATGTGGATACGAATATATTGAATAAAATAGAGCACTTGAAAGACTGTCATCGGAAAGCTGCAATGCAGGATCTTGAAGAATGGCGATCAAATGCGGAAATGCCCTTCCTCCAGGATATACCCGGCAAAGTGCAAAAAAATAGAAAGGCGTATAGGTATCGTTTTGAAAATAGATATGAAGATTTTTTGAAGTATTGATTAAATAATAACGATTAAAGATATAAATAATATTTTTGGAAAACACGAATTTGTAGAAAAATTTAAGTCAGCTACTTTATGTTTAATCGAAGATTTTTTCTGAAAGGCCTCCACTTCAGTGGTTCGAGGATAATCTTGACATCATAAAATCTCGAGAACTTGACGAGAAAGAGATCGAAATAGAAGAAAAACAAGAATCCATAGTTATAGAAGAATTAAAGGAAGAATTAATTGTTAATGAGAACTCCGAGAAAGATTCAACCGAAGGAAACATGAAAGAAGAATTAATTATTAAAGAAGACATAAAGAAAGATCTGATTGTTAAAGAAAATACGAACGAATCATTAAGTATCGAGAAAGATCTGAAAGCAAAATCAAATATTGAAGAACACTCGGAAAAAGTATCAATAATTGAACATCATCCGAGAATAGAATCAATCGATCGGACGAATTTAAAAGAAGGTACAATTCTCAATGAAAATATCGGCAAAAAAGTGAATGTAGAAATAAGGAAAACAACAAGAAATCCGAGCGGGGATTTTAATTTTGATGAATGTTCAAGTTGTTCTGAAGATTCCGAATCAGATGACGAGATTACAGCCTCCAAATCTTCAACGAAGCCTTTAGTTAAGGAAATGAATCAGAAATCCTTGAAAAAATTCTATAAGAAGACGGAGAAGCAAAGACCAGGCCAGGAATTGATTGACAGAATATTGAAGGGTCGATATCCCAAAATAAATCAAATATTCGATGAGCCTACGAAGGCCGTTCCACTACCTAGAAGAGGTGGAACGATTAATGTGACTTTTTCTGAACGGGCCTTTCCCACTCCGGCAAGAGAGAGTGCCTTCATTGAAGAACAGGAAGTATGTGTATTGTACATTCTATGATAAATATCTTATTACAAATTTTATAAAGATTAATTTTTCTATACGAGAAAAAAAAGTTTTTTTTAGATATAATTTCTTTTCAGCGACGATTTGAACTTGACGTTTTAATTCGATTATGCACAATTTTATTTTTAATATACATATATATATAGATATATGTTTCGAACACTGCTTTTAGTGGCTCTCGAAGCAAGCGGAAGCTAGAAGAAAAACAGGATTTGTTGTCGAGGATCTCCGTCCTGAAGAACAGGATCCGCAATGGCTGAAAGACAAGGGCGAGTACGTTGGCGAACGTGCACTTTGTCGCATATTCTTTAACTCTTTAATTATTTTTGCGCGTTAATTGTTATTATTTTGCGTGACACAGTGAATTCTTCAAAGCGGGGAATTATTTAGCTGCCATCAGTGCATATACACATGGAATAAAAATCAGCGACAAGCTGGCGGCACTTTATGTGAACAGATCTGCTGCACATTTTGCGCTTGGAAATTATTACAGATGTATTGATGATTGTTCTAAGGTAATGGAAATTACAATCAATACTATAATATATAGAATATTTTCTAGAAATATTTTTTAAATTAAAAAAAAATTTAGAAAAACAATGATGTAAATAATAAAAAATTAAAAAGAATTTTTTATGAAAAAAATATAATTAAAATTAAAAATAAAATGAGAATGTATAAAATGAGAATATAAAATTAATTATAAGTGTATATTATATGTCAGACAAGTTCAACATATAGTTTTAAAATAGAGGGTATAAAATAGAAAAGTTTCGATCTTTCAATGTTTAATCTTCGACTTAAACAAAGTGTATGAACAATTGCAATTATTAAAAAAGAGGTTTCCATAGGTACTGGAACTAATGGAACCAAAGTGCGAAAGCAACAGAGTATCGCGAGCAAAGTGTCATGCTCGTCGGGGTGCTGCGCTTTGCAAATTATCTGCACCGCAGCATGGAATCCCCGAATTAGAAGCTGCCTTGAAACTAGATCCGAATAACAAGAGTATTAAACACGATCTTTATGCCGTTAGACAGTATTTTAATATACAAGAATAAGGATAGTTGGGGTTTTCTAAAATGTTTTCCTCGTAAAAATTTTATATTTAAGAAATGTCTTAATTTATTTGCTTGCAGTAAGTTGATTAAATGTATATAAGATACGTACAATAAGTAATTAAAATGTAATAGGATATGTAAAATGCTTATTTAAAATCTATAAAAAAGTATTGTTCCTTCTAATATAATTTATCGTACCAACATCTATTCTCTACCGAGTATTTTTTAATCTTATGATTATTTAAAATTTATATATAAAACAAAGACAATATCGGCGTAAAGTTTATTTTTTAATTCCGTAATCTTGATTTTAAACGTCTATCTATTTCGCTTTCATATATTTTTGACGTTCAAACATAATATTTCTGTTTGCCAAGGTTTATAATAAATGCTTACGCCTTACACATACAAAATATAATCTGAACTACAATCTATTTTAGTGCAATTTAACATCTAATTTAACTTAATTAATCTTAGCTCTACGTGATTCTAAGATGAAAAATTGATTTAAATTGTTAAGATAAACGAATTTTTTTTATTCAATTCCAAAATATCCATCCAAATACGTTTGGAAGAAAGATTCGGGATCGCTCTATATGCATAATCCTTCGATTTTCTATCAAAATTTAATAGAAATTAATAAGAATTTGAAAATAAATTTCTTTTTCAATATCGAGAAAGAGAAGTTCTTTTTTAAAAAAACAATTCTAATCTTTCGAATAAAATAATCATCATTTTAATTTATCAGTTGCTTCAAAATTCTTTCTTTTAAAACCTAGAATTTTTTATGGCCAGAATTTTATCCAGGCAGGCGCATTTGGTGTGCTCCACAGCATGGATGACTTCATGATGACGATCTCGTTGTTGATCGATGCGATGCCTGACCATGAAGACGAGGCTAACGTTCCTGGTTTCCGTCGGGGCACAGATTTGCTTGGAATCAGGGCAACAGCCTGATCCGGCGCAGCGTTTCAGAACCGTGGATGCGGGATAGAAAGCTTCATCAGGCCCAAGTCCCACGGTCAAGAGATCCTCCACTGCGATCGCTCTTGGTTGGGGCAGCGAACATTGAAATTGGTGCACCATCTGCACGTGGCTCAAAAAATCGCTATCCCTATGGAACGAGAAGAACGTACACGTGACTGCAAAACTTAGGAAACGGAAAGAAAAAAAAATAATGAAAGTAAAAAAAATTGGAATAAAGAACGAAAAAAGGTAAAGTAAAAAAATAAGTGATAAAGCAAAAGAAAATGGTAAGTGATTGTTTAAAGAAACTGAAAAATCTGATTACATAATTATTTTCTCACCTGTGATGCCTGCCGACAACAGTTAATGCAAATTGAATGCAGATTACCAATAGCAAAAATTTCGTCATCTTCGAAATGTAAAGTTCTCGAAGTGGACAAGTTGTTAAGTCACTTGAGTATTTTTTAATAACAATAAATATAAGTTAGTAAATTTATTCGTGATTACTGGTAATATATTTATAAAACAAAACACACTTTTTAAACTAATCAATAATGCTCGATCGTTGCTCAATAAAACCAAGTTTCTTGAATGGCGATCACAACATTTTCCAAATGTTCTTCAATTTATTTCATCGATTTATTATATATTCTTTCAAGAGAACCGAATATATAATTTTATTAGCAAAATAGTCTTTTTAAATTAAGCACAAATTAAAATACAGCAACTTCAGAAATACTTCAAGTGTTAGAAATCGTTAGATCTCTAAGATTTTTGAATCTTTTTCACTTTGGATCGAAGAGTGAATAAAGTATGGAATCCCAGAAAGTGAAAGCTCAAATTTTCTTTAAATAGCAAGAAAAGATTAATCTTTTTTTCAGTCGGTTCGAAACACAACATTCATCTCAGCTAAATTAATCTTAACACACTTCCATTTTTTCTTCCAGCCAAGGTTTTATTCCCAGAAATATCTCTTCTCTTCCGCAGAAATATTTAATTAACTATTCCGATAAATTTAATACGCAATCGATTTTTTTCCAAAGGCCAATTCTCTTCGATCTGTTCTTCGATCTTCACGATGCTTGCACTGAAGAGATACCCACTGAAACGATCGCCAAGCTCTGCGCGATCAGAATTCTCTCATTCTGTGTATATACGTAACTGTTATCCAGCTTTTCCCTCACCCTCGTCCTCCCTTCTCCGATTTCTTCTCTCCCGTTGCCACTTGCTCTTCGATTTCTCTCTGCGGAGAGGGATTCTTCCTGCGAATTCCCGGTAAGAGGAGAAGATTTGAGGAGGGATCAATCTAACCGTTCCGAGAAGCTCTTCGAAATAACCGTAATTACTAAGAGTGCTTCGCGTGACTTTTCTCCTTCTCGCTTCATTTCCTTCATCTCCTGAGTGCTTTCTTCTTCCTGTTTTCTTTCCTCTCTATCTGACCACCTGGTTTGGGATGAAGGTATACGAAATACACAGAGAAATAAACTGAAGTCACGTTTTTAATTTAAAGATAATCGAAAATCTTAAAAGAAATGTTTTAATTTGGTATTGTAGCATCAACAAGCTCAAATAAGCTGCGTCTCATTACAAATTTTACAACATATTTTTAATATATATTAAATAATATTACAATTTTTCAGTTAAATTGACTCAATTTATATCGCTTGTAATAAAAACCCAAACAGCACACTTTATCCGAGCTCCTGGGATTGTAGAGGACATCCTCTGAATATATTTAGGACGTCTCAAAGAAATATGTATTGTAAGACTATACTTTTATATGCTCATTTTTAAGTAAAAATTAATTCCCTTTTCTTCTTTTAAAATAATTTTTGAGGTAAAAATGTTTGTGAAAAATGTCTTTAAAAAAATGGATCTAATATATTATAATAATGTGAAGAAAAATAAATGCATGAAAATTATTTCTAATTTATGCAAATTAATTTTTATTTATTTTTAATATAATAGAGGCAATAATGAAAAGAAAGCATCACACCGCTATTTTTATACATATATGATTCAAGCACAAAAAACCAAGAGAATATCATTCATTTCTACGAACGGGAATCACCTGGGATAGTAATTATTGGCTTTGTGGCTTATGCTGAGATATAATCTGTTGCAGTAATACATAAGCGTCTACGTCGCGTCTAGTCGTATTCTAAGATGCATTCTAAAGACTCCTTTTCTTAATTATTTTTGTAAACGCAAATTCCGTAATAATTTCATAGCTCGATAAATAAGTAAAAAAATTATAAAGGAAGATTTCGCACGAATAATTATAGCTATTGTAATTGATTTCTTATTGTATTGTATACAAATTTGCTTTAGAAAATTTTGGAATAGGTACATAAAACAAATATAAAAATAAATATAGGTATAAATAATAATTAAATGCTATTACACAAATATATGAAATTAGAGAATAAAATATCTCTAAATATAATTTGCATTCTACTTTTCTTCAAGTAAGTAAACTGTTTTTGCAAAAGAAAATAGTTTTGCAGAAAAATCATTAATATATTACTTCCTAAAACTAACTTTACTTTCCAAAACTTATAAATTAATGCATTTGTAATCTGCTACAATGTAATTTATTGTTTGCGTATTTAAAATATGAAACCTAATATCAAATTTAATAAAATCTGTCAATTGTTTCAATTGTGACAATAAGGTGAGTTACAGTCACACATAGATTGAGGAAACAAATTAAAATTCCTTACGCAGATTGAACGAGAGTGGGTCATCGAAAGTCATGATGAAATTCATACCGCTTTGGTGCAGGTCAATATTTCAAAGATTGAGTCATCGAGTTGTCGAGAGTGACTCATGGGATAAATTTAATATAATATCTCTTACATATATATGGTGTAAATCGACATATTTTATTTCTCCTATTTTTTTAATTAAACGCACGATATTTAAATTAAAAAATTAGAAATAAAATAAAAGAGCTAAAGCTATTGTAAAAGTAATTTTAATGAATACCTAATTGCCAAAGCACAGCCAAAGTACCCGTGAAAAATCATCGTAACTGAGAGTCATGGTGTTTAATGACGATCAATTAAATCTGCGAGTCATCTTTATTACCATAGAAAAATCTTAGAGGAGCTTCAAAGTGCAAAGTTCATTGAAACACAAGCTTAATCATTTCGTGTAATTATAAAATAGACCGTATCACGTTTTATTTCTGGAACAGCAGACTGGTCAATGAGTTGCATAAGACAGGAAGGAAGTTTTACTCATCCGTGATACCTAAATACGTCAATGGTATTCGAACAACTATGACGCTGACAATACGTCATTCTTACGTATAACAAGTAACTTAATTGACAGTACGTGCGAAAACTTTATGGAAATTGAATTCATCTAGGGGCTCTTCCTAAATGCAAAAATTATAGTCATCAGCAAAGCCACTTGGAACAATTCAAGACTCAAAGAGCATTTAAGAATAGCAAATTGTTTATCTAATTAACATTCGATACTGATGTGTATTTTTAGGTATTTAGCGACATAATTTAAGAATGATTTGAAAGACAAATGTCATAATCTATCATTTGCACGCGAAATTAATATACAGGATAAGAGCACGCTATATGAATGACGTCAGCAGTAAGGAAACCCCCGATGAAGGAAAGGAGATTCTTCGGCTAGTTAGGTGTTCCCACCTACGTCACTGCACGGAGAACGCTTCATAAGTCCAACAATGAATACAAAATTTCAGCACCGAAATGACCTTACAACCTCTTGCGTTAACTTGTGTAAAAGTTAATCTTCTCAGATTTTATATATAATTACATTATTTAACAAATATATATATATATAATATAATATAATAATATTGTGTATATTAACAAATTTAATAAATAATATTTGAAATATTATTTGATTACAATTATATATATTAGTTTTTCAACTAGAAAATTGATCTGTACACAGAGATAATGTATTTATAAATTAATTATTTTTAAATGACTTAATTATATATATATATATATATATTAATATAAAAGATATACATGTGCACACATCTTCAATATATAAAATAGACATAGTTATCTTGTTTTTTAATTATTATTTATAAAAGATTTATAAAAAAAATATTAATAAGAATACCGTAAATTATAATAAATTTTTATTTTCCGATGAATTAAATAAAATCATTACTATAAAGAATTTGAGAGAAAGAGAGACAATACATATACCTATATATTTTTTAATAATAAATATACATAAATTGATAAAATAACTAATAAATTCACGACGCTGTGAACACATGGCTTGGCATATGTCCATATAATTTCTGATCAAGTGGCGCCTGAGCAATAAGAAACTCCGATTGTGGGCGCCGCACCGCATACATAATTATAGCCAAGCATATTCTAGAGAAACTTAACCGGTACGATGACAATAAAAAATATTAGATTCACTGGAAGTACATTTATTCTGTCTGAGTCATCTATCTCAGACTAGTTCCCGAGAAGAAGAAAACGGAAAAGGTATAGAAATTCCTCATTCTATTCTAATATAAATTCCAAGAGACTAGATCTCGTCCTGGGCAAAAAATAACTTAAATTTGATCTTGATGTAAAAGAAAATAACGTACGCCAAATTGCACAGATCTATAATGTAACTTATGTAATCAGGCTTAATAATAATTCATAAAATAATTTTATATTTAATGTATTCACTTATGTAATAACTTAGCGTAATATAAACGTAATATATTAAACAGGAAGTATAATATTTGCCTACATTATTAATGAAGTTCGGACTGCTTCTTCGACGCAACCTTGAATCTAGTAGACGAAAGCCGTGTTGCAAAAGACTATTTAAATGCACATTGATAGTCAATAGCTGATTTGCGTAAAAAAAATCTTTGAAATGCAAATGTATCGCAGACATTGCACATTATTTTCATCGTTACTGAGAAAATGAACGTGATAATAATTTATAATCTTTTTGCATTTGGTTATTCACCTGTCAAGACGACGCACGTGGTGGTACGTTATCACATCTTTGATTTCTGATTTCTCGAGGATTTATATTTTTCTCGTAGAACAAGTTAGCGAGTAACTAATCTGGAAAGAAGCCAAAGAGGAAAATACGTACAAATAATTTAAGTAACTTAAATCTTTATTAAACTGTTAATAACTTATTAAATCAACAGATATTGAAAGGGAGAAAGAAAAAGAGGGAGAAAGAGAGAAGTGCGTTGAAAAATATTGAATTTTTTTAAGTTTCACCATGATAAGTAAAATTTGCAATTTTGTAATGAAGGAAGTACAATTATTATGTCTCTTATCGCTAAAGAATTTAAAATTTAAAGAATTACGTGGCAATGATCGCTTTACTCTCTTCTAGCATTCTACTCTCTAGCATTAATAACAAGAAGGCTTCCACGAAGAACGACAAGTAGCTCCGCTTTTTCCGTGTGAAACGAAGAAAAAGGGCATTTTACGGTTCGTGGAAGTCAACGAAGCAACCGAAATACTCGAAGTAATAATCATTCGCGAGGAGATGATTTCGCCTTCGTCGCTAGAAGCACTCGGCCGCGAAAGATGATTTTTAGCGTGACCGCCGTCCGCGCAGAAACGCAGCAGTAAATGAATTAACGTCGCACGAATATTCCGAATTATTAGCCACATAATAATTAACTTCCTGTAAAAGTGGAGAAATGGAACTTTCGCCTCATTATTTGATTCATCGATTATAAAAATGTAAAATATATTTTTTTATGTATTATTATGTTATATCGTCGCAATTATCGCTGGCTACATTTTATATGACGTTTTATTATTATTTATTATTATTAAAATATACGCTATTAAAACCAATTATTTTTTAAATTAAATAAGTCAAAGTTTCATATATCTCAAATCCAAATTGGAAATTCTTTTCATAATAGATTTTCAGAGTAACTTTTTTCTTAGCAAAAATGTCGGCGATCATTTTAAAATACACGCAATGTAAGCAATTAAAAACAAGGATTTGTTTTACAAACTAAATTTTAAAGAGCCAATGGATAACGTAATTATATCTTTGAGTTAATTTCCAATGAAATTTATCTTAAGGAATTTTTGAAATGATAATAAAGATATGCTAAGTAAAAATTGGAAAGTTGAGAAATAAATTCTCTCCCTTAGCTCATTTTTTTAACATAATAAAAAATTAACTAGCAATTTATTATTAAAAAAATATTTAATAGTTTTATAACAGAATTGTATTAAAAATATTAATATAAAAAATAAATTATTGATTCTATAGGTACCAGTATACCATTGTTATTTTATTTCCTTACGTTATTACATCATTCATTATAACAATATCAATATACTTGACAGACTCATTACCGGTTGCGACAATTATTATTCAAAGTGCAAAGGGTTAAACAGCAATGGCTGCAAACTCGCCCGTGAAACGGTTGCACAATAAAGCGGAATCATCGCGGAAGGCACGCGCGATACGGACTTTACGCGTGTTCTCGCGTGAGGCATGCGTGTGCAAGCTCTTCCATATATAAATACTCGTGTGTCAGGGAAAATCTCAGTCGGCCGATACTTGGTGCCCGTGTCTCTCTTCTCTCCCGTCCGTCGAAAGCTTACCTCTATTCAAAAGCCGGAAGTTTACCACGTGATTTCCTTGCTTCTCAAAAGGAACGAAGTCTCGAAGGAAAGAAAGAGGGAAAAAGGATATTTCAGAAAGAAAATCAAACATATCCTTTTTCTTTGAAAAAGCGGCACGAAGATATACCTATAAAGCGAAGAAAATCCAAGAAAAGACAGATTGATAAAACGGAGCGAAGAGAAAATCCAAGAAGAAAAAGAATTCTTCATCTTTCTAAAGACGTGGTGGTTTCGTTCTTAAAAAAACGAAAGTTGCAAGTTCAGCGATCAGTAACGATCGATTTGTTGTGGCCAGGAATCGATCTGGTGATCGATTGAGCTTCCGAGTCGCAAGAGCCAAGGCTTTTGAATTCACTTTACGGCTAGAACCGACGATGAAAGGTAGACCAAGGGGATCGCTTCTGAGGCTGCTGATTCTGATCCTGACGACGGTGGATCAGACGCTGGTGGTCCTGACGGCACACCACGGCGGTCATCACCATCGGGTCCCGCGGAGGATCCACCTGCCGCGCGCGATGGAGGCTACGAAGAAGTTCCTCTGCAGGGAGCCCCAGTCGAGAGCCTACAATCTCAGGGATCTGGTGCAGAATCCTAGCGAGAGCGTGAATCAGCCGGTGTACATTGTGGTGAAGAGGTGCGACAATCACTCGGGCTGCTGCGTCAGTCCCGATCTCAGCTGCGGGCCGGTGCACTCGTTGATCTACCACGAGGATATGGAGGTCGAGGTCTGGAGCCTGCTGACGAATAGCACGAGGAGGGTGTGGATCAGAATCGAGCAGCACGACAGGTGCAGCTGCGAGATCAGCAATGCTAAAAACAGAACTAGGGAGGACACTCAGCCGCCTAGTGTACAGATCCTTTGATCCTTGAAGTAATCTAGATCCAGCAGCGCGGCGGAAGACAAGTGGTTCGATATCAGCAACTGACTGATCATCATGCATTTCGACAGACAACGCTGTGCTGCAAGAAGAACAACGTGGAGTGTCAATTTGAAGTTAGTCAATCAAGACTGGAACTAATTTTCTAAGATTTTTATTTGTACGTAACTTAATTTTTTTAAGATTCTTTAAGCTGGTGTACACAAGGTGGAACGGATATTGAAAACGCAATAGTACTGATTCGCTCGTAAAGAATTTTTAATACTATGCAATGCAACGTTATGAGAAAAACTGATAGGGTACAGCGGGATAATTTGGATAACAGTAAGCATTTGCAAGAATTTCGGAAAAATAAGAGATTTTAAGATACATTTTATTAAATCAGACATTGATCTATTGAAATGTATCTTAAAATCTCTTAATTTTCTGAAATTTTTGTAAATGCTTACAGTTATCCAAATTACTCCGCTGTACCCTATAAAGTGCTGATAAATGTTAATTGATTGTAGTTGAGACTGACGACAGATTGGACTAGGATGTAGCTCCTTAAAACTTCAATTAATACTCGATTTATCTCTGTTTACGGCTATATGACTACGATAGTGAGAGATAAGAAGCGATAAAGTGAAATTAACCAACATTTTACTGTATATATATTTCATACCGTGCAAATTAGTTGAATTACAAAGCTTAATTAAGAAATTAAGAATTAATAAAAACATGACTGAAAATACGAAGAAAGACGCTTAATAAGTGATTGTGATTGTGAAGGATTTTGTCATGAAGAATACAAAAATGAAATGCAAAAATCATTATTTGGATGAGTAAGAAAAAAGAATGCGAATTTTTCAATAGGTAAATTTAAGGATTTAAAAATTCGGTGTCTGGTTTTTCGAAAAAAAAAAAAAAAACCAATTATTCAACAGAAAGTCAACAGAAATATGTTTCAAATATAAATATCTTGCAGACTATCTTTATCTACTTCGTAGTGATATTTTTCAATGTCAGCGTAATTTAAATCGTGCCAACTTTTTTTACACAATTTAGTGTGATAAATGCAAATGTAAGAATCAGGATACTCCGTGGGATATCCCAAAAAAGTGCATATATAATAAGTGCGATAATGTTAAAGCCTTCAATAATGTGATCCGCGTTACATTTCTTTCTCGTATACTCCGAACACACAGAACATTCTATTGCAAGTGATTATACATACGAAGTGAAGTTCTAGCGACAACTGTTATATCTTTACCTGTCTCAGATTGTGATCGTGAATATTTTAGAGACACTTAGGCCTTACTTTTAACTGACATTGTGATAAGATCAATTTATAGCGATAATACGAGGTTTCGAAGTGAGATGTATGTCGGCGCTAATCGCTTCCTGTGCTCGGATTTGCGTTGATTTCCAACGTGATCTTTATATAAAAGTAATAATTCCACGAAGCTAACAGCCACGTTAAATATAACTTTGCTATACATTTGCTATAAGTGCGATACTGTTTGTGCGTCGAACACGGAGTTTGCATTAGTTAAACAAAGTTCAGACGCGGCGGAAATAACTGCCGTTTGTATGTAAATAGCTCAGTACAAGCGCGTGCCGCAAAATTGTGGTATATTATGATATACTTTAGGATTCGAAAATTAAAAAAATAAGGACTTCTTTTGCACCGTAAACGATTTTTTACGAGTTCAACTTCTGTAAGTGTAAATAGACAATAATTTTTTTAGTTATTTTATTTTAAATTAATTTATGTATTAAATGAGTGAAATGAAGTGAATGAATCGCAACTGGCTCAGAACCGGCATAAAGAAGGAACACTTTACAGTATTTCGATACCAATTTTAAATTTAGCGCTATTTTAGAAATCTAATCGTTTAATCGTATTATAATTAATTTATTTATTAAACAGATAATTATTCAAAGTAGAATAAAATAATAAAAGAAAATCGCGATCGCGATGTAAATCGATCGTGTCGAAAGGGTTCAACAGTATTCCTGTAGCATATAATTAGCAACTAATAACTCGAATATTATTTAATTTTTGTATTAATTAATTTATATATCGACTAATTTATGTGAAACAATGAAAATATTTATATAAAAATAAATTACAGCTTTAGCTATTTTTATACTAACTCGTACAATTTATTTCTGTACTTGTTACCTATTTTTTAAATCTTATTTTAATTATTTTAATTTTAAATTCGATCTTTTTTCACTAAATTTCCTCAGATTAATATTTTTCAATTACAATAATATTCGTAATAAACGCAACATTGATTCAATGGTTTTTCGCTTTAAAGTTTCCACAAAAGCAAAATAAAACATTTTATGATATACTAGATTTAAAAATCAGTATAAATTTTATATTATATTATTTTTTATTATAAAATTATTATAAATATCGAGGCTAATTCTTTCTATTTAAAAAAAAAACTGATAAATCCATCAGTTTTTCTTTCTATCAAACAGAGAGATGAAATATGAATATATAACGTACGTTGCTGTATGTTAATTAGATCTCTTATTAACGAGAAATAATTTTTAAAAATTATAAGACCAGTATTCGTAAAAAATCCGATCTTATATTTGAATATATTGAAGACAATCTTGAGGTACCATGTGGTCAATTTATTGGCCGGATAAAATCTCAAGATCCAACTTACGGCCATCTTAAATGAGATTAAATCGCGAATATTGCTCCATGCAAATTTTCTCGGCGCAATCCCGCCAAATCTTTATTCTGCATTTAATTCTAAATAAAATGTCGAGAAGCTGACGTTAATTTTCACGGTAGTTATTAACTGTCGTGTTTCGTTATTGGTTGTATCGCTTGTCCGCCTGTCTATCTACAGGAAGACAGAAATAGCGAAACAATACGTATGCTCGATTTAGAGCGCAGACGTGTGAAAAGAATTGGACTGACGCCCAAAAACGAGAGCCGGCGGCGCCGTTATGTCAACGTCGACATTCACGGACACCTGTTTCACGAAGTCAATCCTGTCAAAAAAAAAAAAAAAAAAAACCTGCTAGTCGCGTATGAGGAATGAAAGTCCGAATCGCGTGCAAAATATTACGTATAAAATTATATATTAATATATTGTATTCGCTGGAAATTTAATTTTTGCATTTAATTTTTGACATGCCCGCTTTAAAACCATTTTTAGGATTTTTTTGGGTTAAAATGGATTTCAAAGTGAACAAATTCAAATCGCAAAAGAAATAGAAACTTTATTTTCTTAAATCTAAAATTTACCAATTTCTCATAGTATTTAAAAAAAAAAAAAAGACAAATTTTTCGATCCTGAAATTCTTGTAAAAAGAAATCAATTTTTAAATCTCTCTTAAAGGATCTATCAAGCAAAGTATAAAAAAAAAACATGATATGAAATTTTCTGCATATTTTTGTGATCGTGAATATTTAGACACTTAGATCTACTTTTAACCGACTCTTTTCTTTTGAGAAACGATTAGGAACGTTAAAATGCTTATAAGTGAATAAATTCGGTTTACTAAAGTTTATCCTTTACTTGTGTTTAACATAAAAAGACGATATAACTACAGAGAATGACAAATACAAGACGTACAGACAGGGAAGTCTTCTGCTGCGCGGTATTACGAGTATCGGGTATAAGGATATTTCGCACGCATTCGTCGACCTCGCGTCCCTCGTCCTCGTCCCCCCTCATTGGCGGCTCCTCTAGCGGCATGTCCTCGCATCACTGGTTGTCCTTCGAAAATAGAAATTTATTTTCGTATTAACATTCACACATAAAGCTTTGTCGAAGAAAGCATTGGACATTTGTATATAAATTCATCTATCTTAAAAAGAGCGAGACATTCTAATCGAGTATGTAGAATCGCGGACAGGTTGGTTGCGACACTTTTTTTTATAAGTTTCAAAACGCACTAATATTTTGCAAATGCGAACCACGATTGGTGTTAAATTATCTCTAGACTAAAAATAGTACATCGTGGTGCGCATTTGCAAAATATTAGTTACCTATAAAATATATATTATGTATGTTAAATATATATTTTAGAAACCTATAAAAAAAGTGTCGCAACCGATCTGTCCACGACTGTACATGTGATATAGCTATGAGTTAATCATTTAGCTTTAGCTATTAAATGAAAAAACAACAAAAATCATATTATTCAAGTAAAAAGTTAACGACAAAGGAAACGATAAGATATTGTTTCGAAATAAACGAATAAGAAAGTCTTATCGTTAAAATCTTATTTAATCGCGCTACTCACCTCTACCGGACTGGGTTTCACCCCACACAATCGGTGTAGGCCTCGCGCCTCTTGCCACTCTAAAGGGCGATCTCGGTGATCTTCTTACTACTCCCCTGGCGCTATTAGAATCACCCGCGGCCGCCAGGCTGGCTGCCATTGTCCTCTGGCGAGTGTTACTAGACGGCGACGCCTCCGCTTCGCGGTTCTCCTCTTCGACTTCGTCTTCAACGAGTTCGCTTCCTGCCTCTTCCGTCGCCTCTACCGTATCGACGACATCGTCGTCGCCGGATGCCAAGGTCGGTTCTTCCACTCGCTTCTCACCCTCCGAGCTCACTCCTGCGAAACAAACAGAAGAGGAAGCAATAGAATTAAAATCCGTACTCTCGTTTTCTCTTTTTAATGAATTCAAATTAGGTTTTAATGAGATATACCTTCGCTTGGAGTTGTACTAGATTCTGTGGCTTCAGTTGAACCGCGCTGCTGGTCGTCAGCACCGACAATGCGAATACTGGGAATGTTAGCGTCCTCATTGTCTCCGGAAGTCGCCGTCACGGAAACATGCGTCACGGTGCTCTCTTGTTCTTCGGACTGGCTACTACTAGTCTGTTGCAATGAGAATTGTGAAGAGACATTAAGTTTCAATAATGCTTAATATGTTAATAAGAAATTGTAAAATTGAAAAACAGAATTTTTTTCTTACCGAAGGCGGCAAATCCGCAGCTGGAGAAACCTGAAGAGGTGTCGTGGGAACACTGCGACCAGTTCCACCGTCCTCCAGTTGTGTCAAGTCCATTCTGCTATCGTCCAGGCTCTCCTGAACAACCTGAACCACAGCGGAATTGGTTGAACCAAAGATCCTAGTGTTAGAGCCTGTGGGAGTTGTCAGAGACGGTGTCGAGGAGGCTGTTGTAGGCGCCGAAGAGTCTCCAAAGGTGAAACGACCTTGCGGCACCTGTGGAGAGCTTACAGCTTCACCGAAACCGTCGCGACGGGGAACGAAGAGGGTAGGAGTGCTTGGTACGATGCAGTCGTCGCCGCCATCCTCGTATCCTTGTTGTGGCTTTGGGGGAAAAAAAGACGATAAATTGAGATAATATAAATAAAATAGACAAGATTCAGGCCAATAAACAAGCAAAACTTTTTTTTAGTTAAATACATAATAATTTACTGATAATTTAATAAATAACGATTTGATGGAATTTATTTATTCATTTCAATTATCGATAAATTATCGATAAATTATTTCAATTATCGATAAATTATTTATTTAATCAAAAACAGTTTCGCCCGTTTACTGGTCTGAATCTTATCTATTTGATTGTTTTATGCATACGAGCGGTAATTATTTTTAACCTGAGATAATGTAAAATTCTCTAAAATGTAATAAATAAAAATATTTTAAATACTAACCAGAAGAAGATGTTGCTGTTGCTGCTGCCTGGGTATAGGCGCGATCCCTCTAGACGACATGGCCGTGAAGGACGTGGCGGGTTCACCGGTCGGCCCAGCGCTGCTGATGGCTTCAGACTGTTGCTGACTCGTAGGAATAATGGCTTGACCTTGTCTAGGCATCTCAACACTGGTGGAATCCTCCTCCATGATGATCTCCACCTCGTTATTGTCTCGTTCAACCTCTACTTCGACTTCGTACTGCATCTCTTCCTCTTCCTCTATCTCGTACGTATCGTTGTCAAATTCCTCCTCTTCCTGTGCTTGATGGTTGCCCCCACCTTCACCCTCATCACAGTCCACCACAACTACGCAGCCTTCTTCCACTTCTTCATCTTGATCTCTTTGACTTGACGTAGGCACCTGATAAAAAAAAAAGCGTTGTCAATATTAGAAATCAACAATAAAATATTATTTTCGAAACTGAATTACAGATAAATACAATAGAAATGTTAAATTTTGTTCTTTTTTTTATCCTCGTTTTTTTTATATCCTCACCTGATACTCCACTTCCGAAGCGCTGGCGCTCGCGGTCGCGCTAATGTCCTGTCTGCTCCTCTTGGTTTTCGGGCTCGGCACCTGATCCTGACGTCCGTGATCCAAACTTTCGATTATCCCGGAACCGGAGGCGGTCGAGTCTCTACCTCGAGTTCTCTTGAGTCCCGTGGAAGCTTGAGAAGTACTGACCGATTGTGTGGAGCTGCTCGCCACCGTCTGCTGCTGGTCGCTGATAGTGATCTGCTGCTGCTGCTGCTGCTGCTGTTGCTCCACTCTGGGACTCACCAGCGCTACTGTCTGTTGCTGTTGTTGTTGCTGCTGCTGGCACGGCTGCTGTTGCGGCTGCAAGTTAAGTGCACTCTCCGCACTTTCGGGATCTTCTCTCTGCGTTGATTCCGCGGATTCGCTTAGCTGCGGCTGCACCACCAGTTGACGAAGACCGCTGGTTTGCGCACTCTGCGACGAAGTACTGGTACTTGCCGGCTGGAAGTCCGTCAGACTGCTAGTCGGCGAGCTCGTCTCCGTGGTGTGCACTACCTGCTGCTGCTGCTGCATCTGATGCGGCGCGACCATGACCGGCGCGCCAGCTGTAGTCGGTAGGACGGCAGCCGTTCGCGACTGCACCACCACGCTCATCGGTCTGATGCTGGCCAACGGGGTCTCCGTTCTGGCGGACATCGGTTTGATGTTCGCTGTCGGTGGCTCCGTAGTCGCGCTCACGCCGCTTACCCCCGACAACTGTCTCTGGAGTTGAGCAACCCGCTGTAGAAGCGCCTCCTTCTCCGCCTGTATCTCCGACTTCTCATGCTCCAGCCTGGAGAGACGACCTTCCATCTGCGACTTCAACGCCACTAACCGCGCGTCGTGCTCCGTATCGGGATCTCCTTGAACTCCGGCGCTACCTCCCGCCGACTCGATCCTGGATTTCAGATCCAGTAATTCTTTTTCGCAGATCTTCTTGGATTCCGTCAGCTGCATGATCTTCGTTCTGGCGCCCTTGAGAACCTGCTTCGCCCTGTCCTCCTTCTCCACACTGCTGCGATTCATAGCCTCGATTTCTTTTTTCAAGTTGTCCGCCTCGTTTTGAGCCGCCACCACCTGACGCGTCACTTCGTCTATCTTCGTCGTAAGCTCGATATTTATTTGACGAAGCTCCTGGCGGCCCTCCTCTCGCAGCTGAGCCTCACGCTCCTGCGTCGTCGCGCCGGAAGCATCCTCATTCCTGGTTTCCTCATTGCGGCTCTTCTCCTCCTCGACGGTTCGCGCGAGCTCCTCATATTGCGTTTTATACTTCTTGGCTATTTTGCGGATTTGAATCTCCTTGTTTCTGATGTCATTGAGAACGGCATCCTTCTCGCTCAACTCCTTCCTCAGGGACACCAAATCTTTGGCCTTCGAGGTGGAATCGGCCAGCGCCTCGTTGAGTTCCTGCCCCAGCTTGCGAACCTCTTCCGACGCTCGCGATATATGTTCATCCTGGGTTTGCGCCTGCCTCTGCAGATGCGCCAGCTGCTCCTCCAATTTCGCCTTCTCCGTCTTCACTTGATTAAATTCGTCCGTTCTCTTCGCGTGAGTCTCCCTCTCCGACGTTAACAGCTTGCTCAGGTTCTCTCTTTCAGTTTGAAGTCGCCGCCAATCCTCAGGGCTGGCCTTATTCGCCCTTTCTAATAACGTATTCGCTCTTTGCCTCCATCTGGTTGCCTCTCCTTTCAAACTCGTGTTCTCCTCTGTCAGAGCTTCCGTTTTGGCTGTCAAATCTCTGGATATATCTCGAAGAGGTACCACCTCCTCCGATAAAGCGTTCACTTTGGCCGTGAGTTCGTTGACCTTCGCACTCAGACTGTCTCTTTCCTCCCTGAGGATTCGGTTAGAATCCGTGATGGCGTTCAACGTCTCCACTTTGCGCAGCAACTCCGAATGCTTGGACGTGGTCATTACATCGATCTCGGATTTTTCACGTTCAGAGTTCAGCAAAATTTCGGTTTCCTTCAACCGCTTCTCCATTACCTCGGTCTGCGATTTCAGTCTGAGATTCTCGGCTCTAAGAACGTCGGTCTTGGCTAAGGCCAGATCTTTTTCTCTTCTCAAATATTTCATGACTCTCAACAATTGCTCAACTGATTTGGAATCCTCCTCCACGGAGCTGAAACTCTTGTTCAGAGCTTCCAGGCTAGTGTCAGGACTTTCCCTTCCTCCGCTTATCTTGGTCTGCTGACTCTGCATGATGGCTATTCGGTCGCCCAACTCCTGAATCTGATTATGCAGAAGCACATTCTGCGAATCGAGGTCTACAATTCTCTTTTGGGTCTCTTCGATCTCGTTCACGAATTTCTGCTCTCTCTGTTTCAAGGCTGATTTCTCAATTTGTAGAACTTCCACTGCCGAGTTTCGCTCTTGGTTTAGAACATCAAGTCGCTGTTGAACTTGTTGAGCTTCCTCTTTCAATTTTGCCAAAATCTGTGAAAATATTTATGTGAAGAAGTTATATAAATTCGTATAAATGTATTTACTGCTAGACTTACCTGCAAATCGGACGAATGCTGCATCATTTCTCTAGCGTATTTGTCCTCCGCTTCTTTGGCCGCGATAGAGACAGACTTCAAGTCGTTCTTCAGCAACTCCATTTCACCTTTCAACTCGTCGAGTTCTTCGACCTTTCTTTCAGCCTCAGCCAGTCTGTCTCTCAGCTCTAAATCGGTCTCTTGCCTGCCATTTGATATCTTTGCTAGATCATCACCCAGTTCCTTCACTCTCTTCTGCAACGAAATAATCTCCACGCGCGACTCTTTCAGAGCATTTTCCAGCTCCTCCTTGCATTTGTTGTACTCGGCTGTCAACTCTCTCAATTGCGTTTCGGCGCTCTCGGCAATGTCGCAATACTGCTGACTTTGTTGCCTGGCTGCCTTCAACTGTTCGGAGAGCGAGTTCACTTCGACCTGAGAGGTACCCAGTTGCATCTCCAACTCCTTCACCCTCTTCACAAGACCTTCGTCGCCCGTCAAGGGTTTAGCGATGGAATGAGCAGCCACTTGTCTCAATTTACTACTCAACTGATCAACTTTCTGACTGCTTTGAGCCTCGCTCTCTCTCGCTTGATCCAGTTCCGTTTTCAGTCTCTCGCTCAATTCGCGTTCCTCCTTCAATCTGTCTTGAGCGGTCGCGAATTGTCTCTCCAAATGAGCCGCCAATTCTCTGAAGCGATCCTGCTCCTCCTGAAGACGGCGTCGAAGAGCAGCGCACTCTCTGTTGGCGTCGTCGAATCTCTGCTCGGCCCTAAGCTGTCCCTCGGCCTGGACTCGCTCCAAACTGGCCTTGATAGACTCCATGTCCGCCTTAAGCAGTGCCTGAGTCTGCCTTTCTCTTTGGAAAATTTCCCGCTCCTTCAGAAGACGTCCCTCAGAGTCACGCAGAAGTTGACGTTCTTGACGAAGGTTCTCCAGTTGGACTTCCGCCCGAGACAAGCGACTTTGAGCAGAAAGCGTCTCGTCCTTCAAGATCATAATACTTTGCTCGTGTTTGCTGATAGTAACACTGTAATTGGTGCATTTCTCTTCGAGAGCTTTGATCTGGGACTTGTACGAGGCGACATTGCCCTGCAAAAGTGTGAATCTCTCGTTCGCCGAGTCCAGCTGCGCTCTCAATCTGCAACACCTCGCCGAATTCGCTTCCGCCTCTTTCCTGAGCCTCTCCACCTCCTCGCCCAACATCTTCTCATGCGCGGTTCGTTCTTTGCGATATATCTCATACTCATCCGAAACGTGTTTAAATTTATCCTCGGCCTCTTTCAGCCTCTTAAGCAACTTTTCCTTCTCTTCGTCGCTTCTCGTTCCCTTCGACTCATCTTCCGATTTGGATTTGGACTCGTCGATATCCTTATCCAACTCCTCCTTCCTCTTCTCGCTGGAATTCTTGATCTGTTGATACATGTTTTTGTACATGTCTCTCTGCTTCAAGAGGCCGTCCAACATCTTCGACTGTCTGTCCTGCGCGGTCTGCATATCCGTCAATTGTTCCATGTAACGGTCCAGCTTCTCCTTCATCTCGCCCGAATTTATTTCGTCGGTGGCCCGCTCGATTTCCTCTTGTCTGGATGACAACGCGCGGACAACTGCCAAGAGCTTCTGATTGTTCTCCTGCAATTCCTCGATATCTTTAAAGGTCACCAATTTCTTACTGATGATCTGCGACGACAAGATGTCATCTGTGTCGATGGAGGAAGGCAAATCTCTAGTTTCCACGCGAGTGCCGGTGCGGCTTTCTTGGACCTCTTTGAGCAGATAACATACCTATGATATAAAAAAAAAAATTTATAATCGTACATTACATGATTGAGCATCTAAAGTTATCGTTTATAAATTCTAATTTACTATATGAACATGAAAAAATATAACTCACTTGTCTAGCTAAGTCAGCCAATTCAATTTTCAGCTTTTTGTTTTCTGTGGTGTGATGCTTGGCAAGACGATTAGCCTCGTCGGAACTTTCTTGGAGACGTTGATTTTCCACGACAAGCTCGTCCATCCTGTTTGTCAGCGTCTCGATATTCGCCACAGCGTTTTCGTAATCTTGACGCTGTTGCTGCAATAACGGTGCCTTCTGCTCTAATTCACGAAGGATTACATCCATCTGCGACTTCAAACGTTCATTTTCCTCTCGTTCCAAGGTCAATTCATTGGTGACTTCGACTAGTTGGGTATAAATCTGCGTGAGGCTTAATCCTTTTCGTAACACTCGACTGGTTATAGCTGCTGTAGGTGCCAACTGTTCTACAGCTTGGTTCAATTTCTCTGCAAAGTTTGTATAAATATTATAATGAAATGCATCATAATAATAAGAGAAATAATTAAAAGGTACAACGATGAACGCAGAGAATAAAATGAGAAAACATTACATTACCAGCATTAATCCATTAAACATGACAAAGAATTAGAATTAATTCACAACTCACCTTGTTGGATATTCTTCAGTAATTCATTAGCATGTTCTAGCTCTTTTGTCAGTTCCTGGATGTTCTGCTCCTTGTCATCGATATCTTGCTTGTGCTGGATCAATAATTGATTGTACTTCGTCTCCAAGACTCCATACTCCTCCGCGGTGCTGTCCACAAGTTTCTGTAGCTCGCTCGCTGCATTAGAAAGTGCCTCCGCCTTGGCATTGGCATCGTCCTTCATCGACTCGTATAAACTAGACAAATTTTTCTGCGCATTGATTTCTTTTTGATAAGAATCGTTAATAGCAATTTCATGGGCACGCTGCTGTTCCACCTTCTGAACCAGTTCATCATTCTGCTTCTGGAGAGAGGAAACCGATTCTCGCAGTTGGGAATTGGCCTCATTGACTATCCGCAAATCTTCCTCGCGCTGGGACAGCTGCGTGTCAATTAAAAGAGCCCTGGCGGAGGCTTCGGATCGTGCTGTTTGAAGTTCAGAGGTCCTTTTGGCCAGCTCTTCTTCAAGGCCTGCCATTTGTTGAGAAAGAAGCATTCGTTCTTTGTCTAGTCGTTTCTCTCTGTGCACACGTGATTCAAATTAAGAATATATATCATACCTATAATTAATTTCTTTACGTTCTTATAAATATACAATACATATAATATCAATGGCGGATACAAGGGAGGGACGGAGAGGGCGATCATCCCCCCCCTCAGAGCTCTCTGAACAAATTTCGTATATTGGAAAAAGTCGGTTTAAAATGAATTGAGAAAAAAAATTATCAGAAATTATTTAAGACTAAATAACGTTCACTCAACTTTTTTTAAATAAAAAATATCAAAAATAACATTAACGACAGTAATAACTAAATATTCATATTTTGTCATACCACCCCCCCATCCCCCTCCAAAACAACTCTCTGCATCAGCCACTGTATAATATATACATACATATTACAAACAATTTATAGAAATATACATTAAAAATGTATTAAAATTATTGTTGTAAATTATTACAAAAGTAATAAAAATGTAATAACTCTAAGTAACAATTAAATAATATATTATATATTTTGCGCATTTAAAAAACAAGTTTTTTCCTTCTAACTTACTTGAAATCTAAGGTCATCTCTCGACTGCGAATTTCCTCGGTCTCAGCCAGAGTTTGGCACTTGGATGCGATGGCAGTTTGAAGCTGGGAGCTTAAAGACGACAAATCAGTACGCATTCTTTCAATTTCGGTATCCCGCCTTTCAACTTGCAGCTGCAATGCATTCGCCTCATCTGTAGCTGTATCTCTCTGCCTACGTAATTCACCATTTTCCTTCTCCAGCCTGTAATCAACATTAAATGTCAACAACATTAGATTAAAAATATTAGAGTCTTAAACTATTTAGTGCAGTAACTCTATATTACTGTTTCTTCTGTAGAAATAACAAAATTTTGTAATATTCAGTTAGAAACTGTATGTAATGTTACCGTTTGACAGATTCCTGTAATCGGTGCACTTCAATTTTCACTTCCTCAAGATTGCCACATATTTCAGTATTGCTCTTTTCCGTTAGCTCTAACTTTCCTCTATACTCGTCAAGATCCAACTTCTGCTCCGCAAGTTCCTTCTGCGCCTGCTCCAAATTTTGCTCTGTAAATCAGTTATACAAAGTTCTTTTATTTATTCACATTCCTTGCTTTATAAATTTCAAGATTCTTTATCTTGGATAAATTTCGGCATTGCCATTGTACTTTCGACACTCAAGATTTAAAGCAAGCTTACATCGCTTCCGTTATTTCCGAGAGTAAATAACGAAAGCGTCGGTAGAAGGGGACTTGAATTTGGAAAATAAAAAAAGATAAATAAAAGCGTCGGAGTTTCTGAGGTAAATAAAACAAACGCGCTCCTCGCGAACGTCCGAAGGCACGAGGACTTTTATTTGTTCACATTCCTTGCTTTATAAATTTTAAGATTCTTTATCTTGGATAAATTTCGGCATTGCCATTGTACTTTCGACACTTAAGATTAAACCAAGCTTATATCGCTTCCGTTATTTTGAAAGTAAACAACGAAAGCGTCAGTAGAAGGGGACTTAAATTTGGAAAAAAAAAGATAAATAAAAGCGTCGGAATTTCTGAGGTAAATAAAACAAACGCGCTCCTCGCGAACGTCCGAAGGCACGAGATTTCGAAAACCGGCGTCCAGCTTACCCAGGCACTTTCGGTTGGTCTCGAAAACCGCCTTGGCGGTTATGAACTCCTCGAATCTCGCGTTAAAATGCGCGTTGATCTTCCTCGTCAGCTCCCTCGGGATTTGCGCCAGCTCGTCGTCGTTCGCTATCTCCCGCAGAACATTGGGCTCGCTCTCCTCGACCTCCATGTCGAACGAATTGTGCGCGATCAAATGGCCGGATCGGTCGGATTCAGTTTACGGTCAAGGTACTCAGATTACAAGCGTTAAATCGTCGAATATTTCCGAGCGGGCGCCACATAAAGCCACATTTGCGTCCCCTCGCGCTTACAATAAACGTTATCGCGTTTTTCTTACGGCGAACGAACGAACGTTTACCCGCTTCCACCCGCTTCGTCGTCACGTACAGTCACGTTAACGTAGCGCAAACGGCAAATCGAGTTAAAATCAGTACAGTACAGGCAAGAATAGCCAGCACTGCCAACAGTTCTCTAGTTGGTTTCACAGATCTCTACAGGACTCTAGTCACAGCTAGAGTCCTAGATATCAGAGAAGCGCGACTGGTGTTAAGCCTGTATCAGACTACGTATGAGATTAAGATTGAGATTGAAGATTGTCCAATCACATTATAGATTGTAATCTGCATTGCAATTGACAATATTGCTGCGTTCAGCAAACAAAGCAGCTCGGTTTATATACATATTTGCATATATTATTAAGATAATTTACTAAATTTTATTTATAACAATACTTATCTGTGCATTAAATTTAATTGCACGTTTATTATTGTACAAACTTAACCTCTATCTGCTTTATCATTCTCGGTAAAAATGTCAGTAGTCATCACGTGACCAAAAAGTCGTCAAAGCCATTGGCTAAGATTGAGATTGAAGATTGAAAAATAGACGGAATTCTAATTTCCAAACTCCAAATCTCAGTCTGCTGTGCTCTCATTGGCTGAGCTTCAATCTCAATCTTAATCTCAATCTCCAATGCGTAGTCTGATACCGGCTTTACGAGTCCTGATTGGACATTCGACGCCATTTTTAATATTTTCTAGTACTTTTGCGATACTGCCATAAGTCGGTTGGCGCTTCTCTCTGATAATCTAGGACTCTACACATAAGCACACTCCTGCTCTGTGCCCCTGAACGGCGCATGCTCCACATCCGCGGGTCGATGTGCGAGATAACATTTCGCGTAGACTGTCGTTTCCGTCCCGTCGGAGTCGTTGTCAGCCATAGCGGCTCCACCAGTTCGCCGGTTCCTGTGGGTCGAGTCCGTGGATACGCTGCTGGTGCCGCGTCGAGCCGAGCCGAGCCGTCGTAGCAGAGCTGTCTGCCCCGCTCGCGCGACAATCGAATACGAGGCACACGAAGATCCCCTGGCGTCCACAATTCAGACCGTCAACAACTGACTCGACATACTCTGTGCTCCCATATTTTCCACAACGTCCACAACGCATCTCTTCTCGTCGACCAAGCGTGCGCGCAAACTAAAATGTACAACGGATACTCGCAAATTCACAGCAAGTACGTATCCGATGTGCTTTAGCGATGAAGATGAGATCTGTCAGTCTAGAAGCGCCCCGAGGGCTTCGCTGAGATCTCACCTAATTTTGCATAGTAGCCGCCATTTTCCTCCTCCAAGCTTGTGTAGTTGCTCCATTTTCTATAAAATATATCCGACGGATATTCCAAGAGTTTTGCCCGGCGGATTTTGCCTAATAAATGCTGATAAATTTGTAGAAGCAGGTACATCGTTGTTTGAAAAAGAAATTAGATGTAAGATGGTATGATAACTCAAACGTGACCACAGGTCAGAGACTTTTTTTTTGTCCGACTATTATTTCTATTGCTAACAAAGAAATTATAAACATTATTTTCGCAGAAGTTTCGCAGAAAGGTCAATTATTGAGAAAAATTGATATATATTTTATTATTTACTTAGACGATGTTTGTAACCAATAAATAAATAAGATGGCTAAGATATTCGATAAAGAAGATACATACATGATCAATCGGTTAAAATCCATTTCTGACATGAAAAATATAGAATATATATAGTATATATACATATAAATATATATATATATATATGTGTGTATATATATATATATATAATACACAAATAATAAATTGATCAATTGATAGCATCTTACATTAAGGGCAACTTTGATTAATTTTAATCGACAAGTAACTCAATCGTCCAGGTAGCAAGCTAACGTTTTTCGTCATTTTGATATCAAAATGTGACATTTTTTATGACATTTTGACACAAAAATGACAAATAATGTTAATTTATTATCTGGGGGATTGAGTTTTAATAATCTGAATCTGTATGTCTTTGGTAATAATTTAAAATTGTATTTTCAGAACAATAAAGCTCGTCAAAGGCTAAGAATACGAATTAAGAAACATAAATGAAACACGAATGAAATTCTTAGCTCTGAAAATAAGATCAAAGATGTTGAAAAGCGCTTGTTCTCGAAAAATTCAAGCAGAACAAACTCGAGATCAAGATATTAATCTCGCTCAACTTTAAATATATACCGTGATTTGAAATTTATTTGCGATTCTCTAAGTAATTAAAACGGTTGAAGTGACAAATTAATCGCGATATTGATAAACGTAGAAACGAAATTCGTAATTATTTTAGCCGCTGAGAAACGCTCAAGATAAAAGATGCGCAACAATTCGTTAAACACGTTTATTAATTGTTGTGACAAAAATAATTAAGCTTGAATATTCAATTAAAGAAATTCACAATGAACATTTTTTGTTCGAAATCTTAGATATTCGTATATCGAATTTATATGTATCCAAATTTATACGTATCCAAACATTGTAGCTGAGTTCCGTTTTAACGCTCACGCGCTGTGAGCATGATTTGTCCTTGTTTAATTTGATAAATGATTTGTACAAGTTTTAAAGAAGAAAGACTATATACTATTTTATACATACTATGTACAATAAATAAGTTGGTATTATAGTTTTCGTTATTCTCGTTATCAAAGAACCAATACTGACGAAATCGTCCGTCCGATTAATTCCATCGGTTAAACGCATTCAAACAGGCGCCAAATAAAATACATATTTATGTTAATAAGAAAATATGTTTTAGTAATATGAGAATACGTAATTAGCATTTCTCTCTGTAATAAGCATTTTTATTTATATACACTGCACAATTGACACAATCATCGAACACAATAATAATCGTTCATGCAATCGATCGCGTCGTACATGAGTTTTTTTTTATTTTCTCTTGCCGAATGCATTAAGATTTCAATAAGTTGTGATCGGTGAAACTCGTTATAATTTTTCACTCCGTATATTAATTTATTATGTACACGGCTATAGGTCTACGATTAGAACTTTTCTCGCGACACTCTTCGTGTTCGAAATTCGACGAATTAATCTTGAATTCTCAATTACATTTGATTTCTTAATTTTATTTGCACAAGGATGAAATGATTCCATGAGCGCTGTAAGCGCCAAGTACGGAACGCAGCTCAGGATGTACAGGATGCCCTCGGGGCATGATCTTCAGAACGTCCCTGAGAGGTGTGCATAGTATAAAATCGTTTGAAATGCACTCTAGAAATATGTCCGATCGTGGACACGAAGTTTAAATTAGGGATTTTGTATGCGATTTAAAACTACATTATTTATCAAATATTTGTAAAGCATTTATTCTTACGAATGTTGATAAAGAGGAAGCAAGATCGAATCTTTAAGACCCAATTGCACAACATTATTTTGACTAACTACACAACGTTAAATTTAGAACTTTTTCACTCTCTCGCTTGAGAGTGAGAGAGAGAGAGAGAGAGAGATTCACTCAAAACATCGGACCTAAAACAAGCTAAAACCTACTCAGGATGAGCCAATATTAATTGGTTGAATAAATGAATTAATAAAAAGATATTTGTGTGAGAAACCTGCATTAAAATTAACCGAAAAAAGATCTTTTTTATGTGCTGTTTTTTTTTAATGAAGATTTTAATTAAAGTTACAGATCCAGGGGAAATCGAGATCATGGCAATCGCAATGGAGGGGTTGGCGGAACTTATTGGAACAGTCAGCAACAGAGTCAGAAGGAGTATGGCACAAAGAAGCAGAATCACAAGAAGACTCCGGGCGATTTACTGAAGAAGCCTAATTGGGACCTGTCGAGTATGCCCAAGATAGAAAAGATCTTGTATATTCCCCACCCCAACATCACGAAGAGAACGCAAGACGAGATCATCAAGTATCATGCGAGCAAAGAGATCACTGTCAAAGGCAACAACACGCCTTTTCCCATCCAAGCCTTCGAGGAGAGCAACTTTCCGGAATACGTGATGAACGTGATCAGGCAGCAGGGTTTCGCCGAACCGACTGCAATTCAAGCTCAGGGTTGGCCGATCGCACTTAGCGGACGAGATTTGGTCGGAATCGCCCAAACCGGTTCCGGGAAAACTTTAGCAGTAAGCATTCTCGTTAACTAAATTAATTAACTTACAGCTTAGATTACAAAAAGTAATGATAAAATAATTTAAGTTTATTTATAAACTCTCGGTTACTTCGATTTAGTGAAGACTTTGATAACTAAAAAGACATCTCAATTCTTTTAGATGCACACTTACCTACGTCACTTTCTTCCATCTATTTCAGTATATGCTCCCGGCGACGGTGCACATCAATCATCAGCCTCGCCTCAGCCGTGGCGACGGACCAATCGTTCTAATTCTCGCTCCCACGCGCGAATTGGCTCAGCAGATCCAAACGGTCGCGCGTGATTTCGGCTCGTCCTCGTGCATCCGCAACACCTGCATCTTCGGCGGCTCGCCGAAGGGGCCGCAGGCGCGCGATCTCGAGCGCGGGGTGGAAATCTGCATCGCGACCCCCGGCAGACTGATCGATTTCCTCGAGAAGGGCACCACGAATATGCGCAGGTGCACATATCTGGTCTTGGACGAGGCCGATCGAATGCTGGACATGGGTTTCGAGCCGCAGATACGTAAGATCATCGAGCAGATTCGGCCTGATCGGCAGGTGCTCATGTGGTCCGCCACCTGGCCCAAAGAGGTGCAGGCCCTCGCCGAGGACTTTCTCAACGATTACATCCAGATCAACATCGGGTCCCTAAATCTGGCGGCCAACCACAACATTCGGCAGATCATCGAGATCTGCCAGGAGCACGAGAAGGAGATGAAGCTGTCGCAATTGTTGCGCGAGATTGGCACCGAACGCGGCAGCAAGATGATCATTTTCGTGGAGACGAAGAAGAAGGTGGACGACATCACGAAGGCAATCAAACGCGAGGGCTGGTCGGCGATCTCGATCCACGGCGACAAATCTCAGCCAGAGCGCGATTACGTACTATCGGAATTTCGGAATGGGAAGACGATGATCTTGGTCGCGACGGATGTGGCGGCGCGCGGCTTGGACGTTGAGGACGTAAAGTACGTCATCAACTTCGATTATCCCAACAGCTCCGAGGACTACATCCACAGGATCGGCAGAACCGGTCGTTGCCAGAGTGCGGGCACTGCCTACGCTTACTTCACGCCGAATAACGCGAGACAGGCGAAGGAGCTGATCGCAGTGCTGGAGGAGGCCGGTCAAGCTATAAATCCACAATTGGCGGACATGGCGAATTCCGTCAGGAATCAATACGGCAAGGGACGGCAACGGTGGAGTCACGTACGCGGCAATAAGGATAACATTTCCCACGGGAGTCCCAGAAGCAACATCAGCCCGACGATAAACAACTGGCAGCACATGCTGCAGACGAACCAGCAGCACGGGCATCACAGTCAAATGATTCAGGATAAAACTGTGCCACGTCATCAGCGTAACAACGGCTATCAGACCAATCGGCAGAACAACTACCAACCGCAGCATTCCTATCAGCAGCAACACCAGCAACGACAATCCCTTACTGGCTACCAGAACCACACCAACTACCAGACGGCTAACAATACATGTCAACCACCGCATCAACCCGCTCATCAGGCCACCAGCGCGCCCAGGTACCAAAGCAGGCCTGGATACCAGGGTAATCGTTTCCAGAATCGTCAGAACGGCTTCAGCGGAAATCAGAGTGGGCCCAACGTTTACTCGATGCCGCCGCCCTTTATGATGCCGTCCGGCGGACACGCGGACTCCGGAATCCAGAACCTCGTGAACAACAAATTCTTCCAGACCAACCGACCGCCGCCCAACGCTGGTGCCTGCGCCTATCAGTCGATGGGCTACGGCCAGTTTCAGGCAGTGCCGCCGTACGGCTATCCGTACCCGCCCACGCCGGTGCAGCAGTGACGCCTCCCACGTTGCAAAACCATCGGGGTACGGGCTAAATGAATAGTAAGTATGTCCCGCCTATCGGGCTTTATTCGCTCTTGCGTTGGATAATAAATCCAATTTCTTATGATAGACTGTCGATAACGGTTAGCTCATTTATATAAGGATTTCAAAGTTTTATTTTGTAATTTGCCAGTCTGAGTTAAATTCGTGCAGCATTTTCAATCGCAATCACGTAATTTTGCTTTGGAAATTTTAGCACCTTCCACGAAGAAACTTTACCGATAAAAAATCTTATTAGGATTTTTTTACGATTTTTTGAAAAAGATTGGCTTGTATAGAAATGTATTTTTTGTTTAAATAATGAGCAGTCTTGAATTTCGATTTTTCGTCAATACACCGACCCTTTCAACGTATCGGCAGTCTATTATATTATTTTTAACGTAATACTTATTCTCTTTTTGTTTCTCATTAATTTTTTTCTGGAATTGTGCCGACACAATATTTATTTCATATTTATGTTAATCACAACGAAATCAAGAGATCATATTCCGGATAAAAAAGAAATTTGATTTCCGTTCGTCGTCAATGGCCAATATTTCCGATGGTTAACGTATACTAAAATCTATAGTATACGTAATATCAACTGTTGAACAGATGATACATCGGAACGGCCATTGTGATTTGAGGAAAATGGTTTAAAAAATACTTTAACAATTTGAGTTTGATTAACGATTGAGATCACGATTGATCTGATCAGGATTAAAGTATTAAGACGCATTCTAACTCGCGTCACTGCCAAAACTTTAAAGGCCAAAGCACACGAGGTGACAAACGTTCATTATAATTATTTCATTATATTATATTAGTTCATTATAAGGACAAGGTCTTTATAATTAAATTATAAATTATTTAAAAGTTAAATGTACACAGAATGTACATAAAGATTATTTATTTTATTAGTCATCTTTGGAAAAAGAGAACTTATAAATATATATTAACTTATAAATGTATATGTATATTGCATTTTTTCTCTATAAATATATATATATATATGTATATATATGTATATATATATATATATATATATATATATAGCCCTCTATAAGTATGTATATTTATAAGTATATATATTATTTTTTTTCCTTCATAAATTTCATGAAATTCTATTCTGTTAAATTATTATTATATTAAAAGTAAAAGAGTTTTTCTAATCCAGCCTCTTATGTACAGTATTTATTTGCTGCTCTCTATCAACTTGTTGTCTCTTTGCTCGTCTTTTACGCTTAATTAGAAGGATTTGACGAGTTAAATGGACTCAAATTGTTAAATCTAAGGCTGACAATTAATTAAAGCGGCAATTAAACGAGGCACATTCCAGTTTTTTCAAATTCTTGATGTAGCATTTAGCAACGTTAGCACTGAGCGTACACCTTATAATATCGATCCTAGATGTTAACCATCGCGTTGATGGTTCACGAATCCCTCTAATCTATAACTGAGAATAAATAATAATCCTCTTATGCGAGTATTATTGTAGCTATATTATAAATGCTTTTTTCCGAAATGCACGAAACATATAGAAGGGGGTGAATTAAGACTATATATCAGAACTACTAATTTATAATTTATTTATATATAGTTCGCGTGATTACACATACGCAGATGAAAACCCAGGAAATAAAAACGCGCGATATGCTCTAATAGGAAGGAAATTTGTAAGGCCTTTTGCATAAAAATTAAGCCGTTTTTTATGTGCCCCGGCATAACGAACAAATTGTCGTGCCCTTTGTTTCGGGAACGGGAAATTAACAAGAAAAAGAGAGGAAAGAAGCGAAGAAACAAGACAGAGAGAGAAAGACGAATTAGAACAAGCTAGGAATATCTATTTGTCTATAAAAACAGTTTCATTGAACGGGAACTAAACCGATAACCGATCTTGGGCACTCTCTCTCTCTCTCTCTCTCTTTCTCTCCCTCTTTGCCTCTCTCTCTCTCTCTCCCTCTCTCCGATACAACTAATCGTAGCATTAAAAATAAGTATCTCATGCTCCGATGATCTTACAAAAATTCAAACGAGCTTTGAGGTCTCTGGATTCTTGAAATTTTGAGCCAGCGGTCTCTGGATATCTGGAACTTGTACTTATATTATAGAACCCTCCCCCCACTTATAGGAGTCCACAGAACTTGGATACTTGAATGTTTCATGTCTTAAATATCGTTAAGTTACACCAGGCTTTTTAAATGGCACAACGTATTTAAATTCTATATAATCTAAAAATTCTCAGAATATTGATCCCCTCTGGAGTCCCTCACTCCGAAAGATTTCTATGTTCTTAAATTCTAATTTCAGACTTGTATGTTCTATTTTGTGATCCCTCTTATCTATCTATAGAGATCTTTCTTCTTCTTTTTCTTTTTAGATACTTTCATATTCTTGAACTCTTCGATTCTTCCATACATCTTTTCACACCTCTAAATTCGTAGATCTTAATCCTCGGGCGTCCTTCGCGAATAAAATAAATATTAAAGTATTTAACTTCTTGGACTCCCTGACCGTCGAGAAACCAGAATCCAGAGGTCTCCGGCGGAGTTTGAAACGCTGGATCCTTGAAGACATGCAAACTTTTAGAGGACAACGTAAATTAAGCACGTAGTCATGATGGCTGTGTACCTCGAATGCAAAGTTTGATACCTTATTTTTATATATATATCGAAAGTAATTTGTTGTTAAACCAACGAATGATTATATGATACATTGTTGTTTGATGTTTATGCAATTGGCCACTGAGTGGTCTTGTCTCTGCGCACCGTGCGCGCAGGCTGGCCGTCATCGAAACTAATCCGTTTTCAGTTGTACCTGCTATTTTAGTTAACAAGCAACAAAGCAACCAAATTACTGCGCCGCATCATCTATATTATCGCTCCGGTGAACAAATAATGTTTATGCTACTTTTCGCTAATGCTTCATCCTTCAACCAGTAACTTACTTCGTTTCCCTCATCCGATTTCACGATCAGGGAACTTAAAGAATTTTGAATCCCGAGCTCGCATTTTCCTTTTCTCGGAGCGTTACGTTCTTCCGAGCTCAGGATAGTTCTCGCGTTATCAATTTTACTTGACTTTCACACTTGTTCGCTTGAAAAATTTTTGAACTCAAAATTTTTCGTCCCTGAAACGAGGCTGAATTTTCGAATTCTGAATTCAATTTGGCCCCGAAGAGCCCAGTTGTTTCGCGGAATCAGAAGATACTGGTTGAAAGCTGAATCATCTTACGCATAATGAATTAAGGATATAACATATTGTTGTATTCTGAAGCAGCCCTTTGTGGTACCGGAGGACTTTTTGTGATCAGCATGCCCGATTAATAATTATTGAACTAACGATTGACGCACGCTGTTGGGGCATGTGATACATTTTATTAGCAGCGTGTAGCAATTTTGCGAGCCTCCAGATTACTCTGCACATACCACCGTATATCATAAAATTATCGAGAAGGAAATAGAAAGAGACAGTGATTTAAAAAAAAAAAGAAATGAAAGAAAACGAGAGGAAGGATAAATTCTCTGGTCTCAGGAAAGAAAAGACAGCTGGTAAAAGATTTCATTAATTTCTAAAGAGAGCATTGATTTTGTTTCTTGGTGACAAACTATAACAGCTAACCATACCGTTTTATACTCCTCTTAATTATCTTTGTCCTTCAGTTTAGCCTCTTTAAAAGTTTTGAATATATTATTTCTAATAATCTTAAGATATTAAGACTATAGTTAAGGATTTCGTTCTTTTTATTTAAACTGTCTGAAACGGGCCAGAGAATCAATATCGGATTAATAAAATGTAGGAACGCTCTCGCGCAGGAACGCTATTAATTAATGATTGTTAATTGTTGCCGCGTGGCGATTATTCACTCGCGACTCGCTTTTATAAAATAATTAAACTCGTCACGCACACACGGTGCACGAAATGCTGGGACGCGAAGGTCCCAATTTGCAGAAGAATCCCATTCGACTCGTTTAGATTCGCGTACTCTAGGTACGTGCTCGGATACACGATCCGTGGATTGATTTCGGACATCGTTAATTGTCGTAGAATCCCCGGTGTTTTTTACGAGAAGAAAAAAAAAGAAACGATAGTCAATAATGTTTCAACGAAGTGGGATATATTCGTGGTTCCTGAGATCGGGATGCTCGTGTCCTTGGATCCTTGCGTCTTTGAAGGTTCATATTCCTGGATTGCTGATACCTCAGTCTTTCGTTCTCGACGTCGCTTACAACGGACGTCAATCTTAAGAGCAAAGTGAGAGCACGAGGATCGTTGAAGTTCCTGATTTTCTTTGACGCTCACAAATTTCTCGCCAGCTTTAGACCCTTTCATTTCCTCTGGAAGAACTGAGGAGTATCGGTATTTTTGATACCCCCAAGAAAAATTTGCGAGTACGAGAAATTTCGAAACTCCGGATAGCTAAGAACGTCAGAACTTTCGCACTCTCGGAATTTCGCAGAACGCAAATACAGTTTTCAGCTTCCGCAACTGCGACATCTTGGAACTTAATTACTTCGGAAATTTGAGAGATTTCACACAAAGTCTTTTTTTTTTATTATAGGAAATGGAGGTTTTTCTTGAGTTTTGGAAGCACAGATTATTTAAGAATCTGTGTGTCGATCTTTTTAAAGTCCTACCTGAAGTTGCAGAACGTAGGTACTTAACAACCATGGAAGATTTCGCATTTTAATGCTTCTTCAGTCCCCTCTCCTCAAAAAAAAAAAAAAAAAGATGTTCTTCTCAAAGAGAGGACACGTTATGTGATTTTATCTCTGTCGAATCGACTTTACGTGGTTGGTGAAAACCGGAGAAAACATATTCCGACGACGGTCAGGACAGCAATTATGTTGGAAGATTAGATTTGATTGCTTTGACTTCATTGACTGCTTGAATCTTCGAATTGAAGGATCCTTGGATTCTGGGACTTTTTGATCGACGAATATTAAGCTCGACGCGCCTACTTTGTCAATCTGACTGCGTATGTCGATGAATAGTGATATAATAATAGGAAAACGTATATGTTGCGAGCATGGGAAAAAAATACTGAATACTCTCGCGCATTGCGTATGCCCGCTATCAAATCGCGAACAATTTCCGATCGAGGCGATCAAAGAGAAATAATGCAGCATAATTACTATAAAATTAACCGACTTATATTAGTTAATTAAGTAATTTTTCCTCTTGATAAGAAAAACCATTATCAATTTTGAAATAATTATTATTTATGCTACCCGCAGTTTATTTCGTTACAAAGTAGATTATTTTATTAAAGACCGCGTAATAATATAATTACGTTATAATTACATCTTTATATAATATATTATTATATAATTTTATAATCTTATATTGTTATATAATACTATATTATATATTTGTATAATATTTTGTAATTATCTTATTAAATTTAAAACATTTTTCTTGATTCTCCTTTTCTTTCTGCTTGTCTTTAAATGAAATAATTTCTAATGAAATAACAATCCGGATAGCGGGTGTACGCGTAGCTCTGTGATATGTAAGACGTAGCATATTTCTAGCTCTACCTGTCGTGCATCATTAAAGTAAGGGATGTATCTCATCAGTTTTATATGCGGTATCAGTCATCGGATCTTAATGATGCTTAAACGCATGAATCGTCGATATCTATTTAGCTATCGGGAAAGAAAAGGGAAACGACACCGAGCGTACTTTTCTCTCACTTTCCTAGAATAAACAATATTAACGATGGGCTATAGCTGATGTATCTGTTTAGACTGTGTAAAAAGTTTTTTCGAATGCAAGAATAACAAGACGATAAAAAAGAAACATTGTCGTAAGATTAATAATATCGCCACTCTGTTTAAATAACGTATTC